TCTGCAGATTGTCTTTGGGGTTGTTGTATTTTAAACTTGATCTATGGAGCTCTTTGCTGTAATGCCTGGTATTACTGTCACAAAGATATTGACACTTGACAATGGTCTGAATGCTGGATGCTGAGTTGCCTCCCATTCTCCATCCAGCTGTTGAGTTGACATACTTTCACATCTGTCATTAGACAAATGTAATGATGTCATGTAATGATACTGAAAGACTTTTTACTTAAAAGAACCTGTCAGCTGAATACTATTTGGCCAACCATCCTCCTAGCTGCAATGGTGAGCTAGAGGTTATTGAGGCAAACTTGTGACCTGACCAAAAACAGCATCACTCACGATCACTCATTACCACCACCTAGCTGCCCTTGAGTAAGGCCCTTAACCCCCAGCTGTTCAGTGAAGCTGCTCAATGGCTAACAGATCAGACAGGGCAGCGTCCAGATGTGAATGCATGTGACTGTGTGAGTTTGATCAAGGCATTTATACAAAAGAGAGCGTGACTCTCTTTAATGAATAAAGGTTAAAAAACATATTGCTCTAGTGCTGCGGTGAAATCAGTGGAAAAAATCCACTGTTGAACCATAACTCAACTCCTCCACTGGAGGCATGGTTATTATATAGCTTTGTTACTGTCACCAGATTTAAAAAAAACAAAAAAAACAAAACCGACAATATTTTAGTATTTAGTGCATCTTTTTATACTTTCTGAATACATACTGAAGACGTAATAACTCACAAATGTATGCGAACTGAGCCCTTTATTAGAAACACCTGTACACTCGCTTATTCATGCATTTATCAAATCAGCCAATCAGCCATGTGGCAGCAGTACAATATATACAACCACACAGATACAGGTCAGGAACTTCATTTAATCAAATTAATTTATCAAACATCACAATATGGAAGAAATGTGATCTCAGTTACTTTGACCGTGGCATCATTCTTGGTATTGGACGGGCTGGGATTTTCACACACAACAGTCTTTAGACGTTTAATCGAGAATGGTGCGAAAAACAAAAAACATCCGCTGAGAAGCAGAGCTGCAGATGGAAACGCTTTGTTGATGAGCGAAGTCAGAGGAGAATGACCAGACTGGTCAGAGTTGATAGAAAAGCTACGGTAGCTGTGTGTTCTTGACACACTTTGATCATCATTTGAATGCCACAGTCTGAGTATTGTTTCTGACCATGTGCCATGTATGGGCCGCAGTTTACCATCTTCTAATGGCTACTTCCAGCAGGATAATGCACCATGTCACAAAGCAAAATTGGTGTCAAACTGGTTTAATGCATGACAATGAGTTCACTGTACTTCAGTGTCACCACATCTGAATCCAGTAGTAACTTTGGTATGTGGTAGAACACAAGGTTCACAGCATGAATGTGCAGCTGAACAATCTGTAGAAATGATGTGATTCAGTCATGTCGACATGGAGCAGGATCTCAGAGGAAAGTCTCTAACATGTTGTAGAATCCATGCCACAAATAATTAAGGCTATTTTGAGAACAAAGGGAAGCTCTACTCAGTATTAGTATGGTGTGAATATATATTTTCATTTTGTAAAATGCTTGATGATTTCCTAAAACAGCTGGCCACTGCAGGTTTTAACAAACATTACAAAAACAGGAGTGAAACAGTACTGCTGTAGGTTCACAAGAGTTGTTTAAAGTATAATATCATATGGAGATTTTTCATGGTGTATGTCTTTCTTTGGTGGAAACTTTCAGTGTTCCTGCTCCTGACTAACTGGCCAATGTGTCATGGTTCTCCAGCTAAGTGTGGCCTGAGCTGGCGTTCATAGGGATATGTCACAGACTGGAGGGGAGATAAGCTGAGGGGACGGTGTTGACCAGAGGAGATCCAGTGTCAGCTTATCAACCAGGGCTGGCTGCCTGACTGTGGCCTCGGATAAGAGGGAGAGAAAGGGCCTTTGTTTTCAGCTGGCGCACCTCGTCTGGTCTCTTGCCTATCTCATTCCCTCACTGGCCCCCATCATACCCAGTCAGCCCTCCATGTACGGCTGGGTTTCATTGCAGATACAGTATTTAAGACAGACTATTCTAATGTTTCAGATTTGACGAATGAAAGCCAGGTTCAACTGGTTATTTCTGGGTTGTGTCTGGGCATATCAGTCTTTCTGATAATACAATCAGACCATGCTCAATTGATTTTTGCCTTAACAAATGCCAGTAACCAAATAGGAAACCTGAGATCTCCTCTGTGATAATTGCACTAATTCATAAAATGTGTATGATATTATTTCACTTCTTATATTTTATATACACTCGTAAATCCAGCTCTATGTGCTTTTCCAGCGGCAACTTTTGTTTAGTCCTACAAGACTTGTAATAAGCAGCTGTACATTAGAGAATAAAGGAAATGGGTTCTTAAACCTTGAACTTCACCTATGAGAGCTGATTAAAAATGAGTCTCCCTTTGACCCCATGCATTTAGTATCTTTTTGTTTGCCGCACTGCTCTTTTGTGTGTCCACCCTCTGCACACAATCTAATAAAACAAGACAAGACACAATCATGAGTCCACAGCGATGTTAGTGGCTCTGAGAGGCTATATATAGGCACAGCAGTGCTTTGAGCTAAATGCTAATGTCAGCAATCTACACACAATAACAATGCTAACATGCATTTAGCAGGTATAATGTTTACCATCTTCACCATATTAGTTTATTGTGTTAGCATGCTAACATGTGCTAGCTAGCACTAAATACAAAGTGCAGTGCGACTGAAATGTCATTAGTTTTCAAGGTATTTGGTCATAAACCCAAGTACTGGATAAAATTTTGACCAGATGATGGTCCACTCAGTAGCGGTGTCGACATTTCTCTCTGAAGCGCAAACGTCTCATGGAGGTGCAAGAGAGCAGTGGCGATCAGGGGATCCAGGTAAATAATAGGCCCTCTCGAGACCAGGTGGTTAGCTTTTGATCCACCATAAAGATACAAAGTATTTTACAGTTGTTACAAGGACAAGCCTGAACTAACATGAGCAAACTATTCCTACGTACAGTTGACATTATAATGACTTAATGATTACTAACTACTGTGACTGTTTGGCACTGAATCGTACTTTGATGACATGATGCCAAACTTTAGCTTTTGAACAGAGAAGGGGGGAGTGATAAGACCAGTGCAGAGCCATATGTCACCTGTTTAAACGTATGTATTCTAAAAGGTACAACTCTGATCTACTACATTCTCTGAGCATGCACACTGGTTCCTTCTGCTCCTCCTGTCCTCCTGCTCTTCATATGACTCGTAGCTCCAGCTACTCGTTTAGTGCTCTCCACTTCAGCCCATTAGGGTCATCAAACAAAATTTACAGCCCTTTGGTCCCCTCCCCTGAAAGGCCTCTCTCACTGCGCCACTTTTCCCTGAGGTCCAACATTTTGATGTGTTTTGCTGTGTGTGCGTGTGGCTGTGTTGCTGGGGGTGGGTAGTGTGGCTGTCTGTAAAATGCAATATGAAAAGCAAGGAAAGAATGCCTGGGTTGTTGTGTTTTGCGTGTTGTTAATTTGGAGTGTTTTTCCTCTCACCTCTGGGAACCATATAACAAACTGCTGTGGGTGTTTGTAAAGATTTTTTTCAGTGGTTGAGACTTCATAAGAGTCAATAATAAGTTCACATTTTGAAAGCTGATGTTAATTTACAGTTATAATATACAGTTACAATTATAGAGTAGTTTCATTATTAGTCAGTTTTATACTTATGACAGAAATGTGTACAACTCTGTTGTCCTGCTTTATAGGGAAGCATCTTCTGCCCAGGAGTGGATGAAGCAGAAGGGTCACAGACAGGTATTGCACTGGAGGAGCCTGAGACCAAAGCTGTCCACTGTGCCAAAATAGGGATTAATATGAGGGGCTGATATTTGGGAATCAACCTTTGATATGATGCCAGGAGGGGAGTGCTCCCAGCTGCTGCCAGGAGGGGTGTGCTACTAGACAGTCTGGTGAGGCTGAAGACAAAGTTGAATAGTGAAATAAAACTAAAAATCTATGTAGCACCATTCAGACACAAGGCAATTGAAAATGCTTCACAAACGATAAAAAGAAATTTGAATAAATAGAATTTTTTAAATAAGTCATATCAAGATTGTATAAAATCAGGTAAGAAAATAAGTAGAGGGCTTCTTGTCCCAGTTGGAGGTGATTGAAGTAAAGTAGAAGCATTAATGTGTTGTCTTGAACCACTACAAGACTCTTGATATGTCATGATTGATGTTAAACTTGCACCATGTTTTAACCTAAGTATCGGAATAAGATGGATACACAGTTTTAGACACTGCAGTGGAATAAGATTGGTGAAAATCTGTTTAACAGGTGACAGCTTTATATGATTGTTTACAGTGTAACAACAGTAGGATCCCAACCTCATTGTAACATGGACAAGCATGGAGCTACTAGCTCCATTGGTTAGAGACAGCACGTTCAAATGTTTTGGAAAGAAATGAGACGGGTCAGGGGGAACTGTCTTGATGAGCTGAGAAGCTAATTGACTTGAAGGTAGATGAAATGATGCCAGATGTCAATGAAGAGTTGATGACAGTTTTCAAGAAGGGAAGAAAGTTCTGCAGGAGTGGTTTTTCTGAGGGTTAGGGCTTACTGTTTGGAGACAAGCTTAGGTCTTTTAAATAGAAGGTCTATCAATACAACATTAAATTTACTTGTTTGTGGATGTTTGTGTGTGGATGGGATGGTAATGCTACTTATTTCACTAGTCTGAATAGTTACCTGACTTACTGTGGATCTCAGACTCTTTCTTCTATCTTGATCGTCTCTGATTTTTAACTATTTGTGTTTTACTCTTCTACCTTATTTTTCCTCGGACAAACTCCCCTCACAAGTCCCTAACAAAAACACACAATAAGACATTAATTCCCCATCCAGCTACTGAAATCTTAACATCTTACAAACTATGAAATTACTGTAGTAACATCTTCTTGAATGAGCTGAAATTCTTATTTTGTGTCTCAACAGAATGTGTTCTTACACCGAGGGAGTTCTCGAGGGGATGGGACAGTTCTTACAGGACCCAATCGGAAAGGTTCAGTAGTTCGTGGGGATGTCTTTGTGGTGGATGAGGACACTGACTTGTTGGATCCAATCTTCCAAAATGGTGGACAAGTGAACCCCCAGTGGAAGCCCCCCAGAAATGGCGCCAAAGGAAAGCCTGAAATGTCCTCTAAACATTCAGAGGAGAATATTACCACAGAGAAGAAGACAAATTCTAGTGGGAGGACTTCATCGCTGTTCCCTGGAAAACCATCCGATGACATAATTGACCTAGACACCGGAAACACACCCAAGAAGCCCTCAGTGGGGTTTCCTGCACTTCCCAGGATCCCTTCAGATCCTAGAACATCCACAAACTCCAGCAAACTAAGAGAGGAGACAGATGATCAGGCCAGGACTGTCTCACCTATACCTCATGTCATCACCTCTGACCCATCTGCACAGGCAGTAGTTGAGGAGGGGGGACCCAACGCCACACAGAGCACCACAGACTCGGATCATAGAGCCAAGAACAACCATAGACAGCCAGACAGGGAGCACCCCGGAACTGTGGCCATTGTATCCATCGATGGTGACCTGGTCCGGAGCTCAGATGGGAAAATGTACCGGCTCCAGAGAGGACCACCAGGCCGAATGGGTCCTCCAGGACAAGAGGTGAGTGGTCTTATGGTGCTATGCTCTTGTTGGTCTAATGCCCTTGTTTTAATGCTACTGTATGCATCCAAGTGCAAAGTGCAAGAAAGCAAGTCTTCTTGAGTTTCCTCTGCCTGATGTAAACTGTTCAATGAGAAATTATTGTTTCTGCAGTTTTGAGGCTATTGACAGCCAAGGCCAAGACTTATCCCCCACTGTTTTAACAGTAAAGCTGATGTATTATATCAGAGCTATCTGTTATAAGATGAGATTTAAAAAAAGAAAAAAGTTCAAACCTTGTGAATGAAAAAGTGTGACATCTGTTTATGCTTTGCAGCTTACAAGAGCTGTTCTCCATCAGCTGCCATCTGAATCTGATCAGCTGAGGTTACGCTGCTCAAACACATGTTGATCCACATGTCTTTGATGCAGCAATCTCAGCCCTCAGAGAACCACATAGTGAACAAGTCTCAGCAGTTTGTTGTAGCATTACTCAATGTGACAAACTTAACCTCCGGCTGCCAAGTCATCTGATTGGTGCCAATGAGTAAAGTCATTTTATAAGATTCAGTCAGATGGTTTACCTGGTGTAAGAGGTGGGCCATCACAGGAACTGCAGGGTAGACAGAACCAGAACCAGACTGCACATCTGGTCACGTCTGGGCCGTTTTCTGGAGTCACGCTGCCATAAAATGCACAGGATCACTCAGCACGATTACTGTGATTGGAGCCGGCTGTAGGAAACATGAAGGAAGACGTCCCATTCTCTCTCCTCATGTACAACATCTCAGGTCTTGCTTACCTTGTTGTAGTGTATAGCCTTCCGCATCATCCTCTACATGTGTGTTGACAAACTCAGTTTATTTGAGTAAAAAGTACTAATTTACAAAAGAATATTTCTATGCTATGGCCGCAGAAAACACTCTTTTCTGACTGATTGGCATATATATTAAAATTATATACGGTAATAAGATGCCTCAAAGAGAGACCTGGGTAGCAGTTTAACATCTGTTAAATCACAGTGTAAGCTCTTTTAAATGGCACACAGTTTAACCACAGCATCAATACTTCTGCTTACTGTTGCATTCAAACACATTAACTCTCGCTAAAATGGTCGTCACTGACTACTAACTAACTTTGCTAAATGGATTATGACTTGAACACAGCCTACCTTGCTTTAAATGGCTGTTGTATAAGTGTGGTAGAACACTCTGAGGTTTCCTGTTGTAGAAAGTAATGGACTCAGTGGATGACGTGCCTCATCTGCTATACTATGAGGACAACTTGTCGTGTGTTATGCCTGTGTGTGTACTTATCATTGCATGTATTAGTATTGCTCCTTGTAGTTCAAGCATAAGTCAACTATATTAACTCCTGGTTCGTACAGGCTGCAAAGACTGATCACCCAACCAGCAGCAACTGGGTTTTCAGACTCTCATCAAATGCCACAGTAAAGATATAGAGAGATTTATTATTTCTGTACCATTTACATATAGTATCCCAGTACTCCAAGCTATAAAATCTCACAGTGTTTTATTAACATAGGTTTTGGGACCAAGACCATAAAATAAATGGCTTTTGCTTTTCAACAGGCCATGAACTGTGAGTTTTTACAAGGAGCCAGTGCTTTGCTGGTCTCCCAGGTCACTGTGTTTTGCCTGTAAGCAGTAGTAGACAAGATTTTTGTTTTAAATTTCAGAAGCAAATTTAGTTGAAGACACAACAATTTTACAATTTGACCATTACCGTTTTTTTATTATCATTATTTTATCTTGTGTCTTGGAAGACACCTTTTCTTTGTACTGTTTTTTTTTTTAATTTTTTTATCGGGGGGTTGTTTGTTATGTTTCCACAGGGATGTTCTGGTGAGCCTGGCCTGTCTGGGTTTAAAGGTGATAAGGTAAAATAACCTTGTTTATGACATTAAAGCCTACAGTGATGTGCTACATATGTCCAGTTTTCTCTTCAGGATTTAAGTACACTGTTGTCCTGTGCACCCCTGAGAAACCATCCAGAGCCATACCTTGTTTTAAAGCTCAGTTTCACCTTAGACATTTTAATACCTACAGCTATAAACTCCTGCCCATTCCTCCATTATGTCTATATGTATAATATTTATGTTGGAGCTCCAGTGCTGCAACAAATCACTTCTATGATGTAATGCTAAAAACAATGCTGTGCTATAATAATAAGTACCCCATATAAATTGATTTGTCTTGCATGAACGTACCACATACTGTTGATTTCTCACAGGGTAAAACGGGCCCTGAAGGTCGTCCAGGAAAAAGGGGGGAGTCAGGACCTCCCGGACCGCCAGGTTTACCAACACTCTACCTGTGGAGGAATACTGCTGAGGAATGGGCTGCCTTCCAGGTAAGATGGAAACCAGAAAGTATTCTTTATATTGAGTGTGATATTTACAAAATGTTGTTTTCCTTCTTCTGAACAGAATGTCTCTCTTTAATGTAGAGTCTTTCATAATTTGAGTTTAAAATGTTTGAATGAACAGTAGGTATATTTACAGCATAGAGACAGTCATTATGGTCCAGCCGCACAGAAAACTGTCATCCACCTCTGAACTTAACCCCAATTAGAGTTAAAGGGTTAGGGTTGAGTTCTGAAGAAACTGATCTCCTAAGGGGTGAGACTACACTCAGCATGATCTGTATGCTGTCAGTCAGGCATGTTAGATGAATTGTGGACCAAAGCTCCCGTCCTAGACCCGATGGCTCCTTCAGCTGAACCTCCATGATATTTTACAGTTTAACAACAAAGATCATATCAGAACATGTACAGCCCATAGACTGTAAATAAAGATGGACGTAGCCTCCGTGACATCACCCAGCTGTTCTGCTGTCACCATCTTGGCAGTGCCTGACTCCACCTAACTCCCAGCTAATCCAAAAATGGGCAAAGAGGTGGGGGCGTGTGTGGAGCCGAGACTTTGGTGCATGCCGGATTGTGGCAGCATATGCTTACCCACCTGTCACTCAAAGCTGCACGCCCTCAATTATGCAGAACTCTAAGCCTTAATAAAATATACACAGGTGGGATATATAAAAATTCACCCCCTGTACAGTTGTCACGAAGGAGGAAATTAGCTCTAGGGACCAAAACTACTTTTGTTCCAGGCTGAAACATTGTGACATGGGAGTCTATGGGGATTGACTCACTTTTGGAGCCAAGTGGCCATTTGTGGAACTGCAGTTTTTGGCACTTCAGTGTTGGCTTAATTTTCAGCCCTGGATGTTGCCACTTGGTACAGCCACAAATATTATTTGTAAAAGTGGCTCCTTGTAGACAGTAAATGGAAAGATACTTTATGGATTTATAATCTCAGAAGCATTAGAGTTTTTATACAAGCATTATGTAGTTACCATCGGCATTTCTCTAGGCCCTCATTGTGATGCCAGTCGGTCATTTGGTTGGCTGGTCTGTCGGTTGGTCAGTTGGTGGGTCCACCTCTTTGGTCCAGACTGAAATATCTCAACGACTTTATGCAGTTAGAGATTCTGCATTACTTCAATTCATTGATTCTTTGATCTAGGACTTAATACTATCAGAACTAATGGCATTCCAGTCAATATCTTGTGTATTTAACAGATGAAAATATTCAACCTGAGATATTATGGTCTACCAAACAGTCACCATACCCATTTGGCATCTTTACTGACCAACAACAAGTAGGCACTGAGGCCACACATAACATCTCAAAAGTCCTATCCTCACACAGAGAAGTTACCAGCTTTGCACTTTTGTAACTTTGAACAGCTGTTTCATCTAAATCCTGCTAAGCTATCACATCCCCCAGTGTCGCTGTAAACATCTTAACCAGTTGAAATGAAGATGGCTTTTCCTTCCTTCTCTCTCCCCCTAAGCGCCTATGTAATTCATCGTCAGTTACCTAAAAGACACACTGGACTTCAAATGTTCTTTGAGGCTAATCTTGAGGTTCTTTCTCCAGAGCTATAAGACTATCTGTAAAACCTCTGACCCTGCAGTTATAGTGCTTGCAATCTGATGCTCTGTCCTCATCTGTTTAATCTCTCTGCAGTGGACACAGCTGTTTGTCGTCCAGTGTGTCAGTGTGATGAAGAACTGTCTGTCACTGAAAAAAGATGACGAAAATAAAAGTCTGCTAGTAGTTTGTGGTGGCGATTTGTCACCGTATGCGCTTTGAACTTTATGTGGAGAGGCTACAGAGGTCATTGTCATACTTTTACTCATTCTTAATGAGGGTCAAAGATAGTTACTCTAACTCCAGGAACTGTGGAATTTGAAAGATGATTATGTTTCATTATAAGTTATGTGTTTACATTTCAGTGACCTGTCAAAAAAAAAAAAAAAATCCAACCTCCGTCATTCAAACCTATTTTGATATTTTGTGTCACTTTGCTCAATCCCAGTATCCAAAATTTCCCAATATGCCTCCAACGTCAGGGCTCAAATCTATTTTAGACGACTCCCTCCCGCTCAAAGGTCTTACATCCTGCATTTTGAGATTATTGTGCTTTTTAAAGATTCTCCTGTGATTTAGTCCAAAGTAAACTGGGAAATGGTGATTGGGGAAACTTTCCCAGAGGAAACTTGGGATGCTGCTGTGGAGAGAAAAAAACAGTTGTACCTCTTATACTACACCAGCCTGATTCAATTTAAAGTCATCCATCGTATCCACTATTCAAAAGCCAAACTCGAGAATATAGATCCTAATTTAGACAAGACTTGGATAGATGTACTGGGCTCCAGCAGACTTGACTCACATGTTCTGAACCTGCTCTCATACTGGTTAATTATTTTTGAATGTCTCTCCATAGCCACAGGCAGAAGTTTGAGGACAAACGTTTGGACGGCCATTTTTGGGGTTCCAGCAGATGATCAACCACAAACACTAAACATTACATTAAAGAATATTATAGCATATAGCATTATTGGAGAGAAGAAGAATTATATTAAACCCCCTGTTGGCAACCCTCTGGCTTAAAGACCTAATGACATTTATTAATCTTGATCAAATAAAATTTGCACTGAGACACTCTGCTCAGAAGTTATATTCCATTTGGGGTCCTATAATCAAATATTTCATAGTATTAAGAGTCTTCCTGACTCTATGTGAAGGGATTTATTTATTAATGAATTCATTTATGAATAAATCCATTCATTTGTTTGTTTGTTCGTCCTCCTTCTGTCTTCCTCTCTACCTTATTTCTGTCCTACTTTTGACTATCACTGATTTTGATTCGTTTGTCAAAGCACTTTGTAAACTATGTTTTTAAATAGATAGATAAAGTTAAAGTTATTTATGGATCCCCTCAGCTATATCTCTCTGTACCTATTTTTTTTTTTTTTTTACATATTATAATTTTATTTCATTTATTTATTTTCCTCATTTCTCTCAGTAACTCCATCATTACATTTCAAAATCAGCTGACAGTTTTGTATTGTGTCACTAGTAACAGAGAGCAGTGTATATGTAGGATGAGATAAGAGGGCTTGAGTAGAGAGGATAAAAAAGCCTGTTTGTTGATGGGTTTAAAAGAAGCATATATGTTAATGTTTTCTCACTGTGCTCAATGTAACATGAGTAAAAATAAATAAAATTCCTCATATACATTATTATCATCCATATAGACTGTCATTTTCTGTTTTTTGTTCCTGGATCTGTAACTTATCCTGTGTGTTTCCATTCTTCCTGTAGCAAACCAATTTCTATCAGTTACTTCGTGCTGGTTGGCCTGTAAGTATGCTGTGACGATTAACGGCCTTCTTTGTTTGGATGTAGTTGTTTTGTTAATTCCTGTTGACCTGAGGCTGGTTTGTTTTTTGTGAGCTTGCAGAGTAAAGAGGGTCCAACAGGACCACCTGGAGAGATGGGCAGGCCTGGGCTACAGGTTAGAGATGGGCTGCATGCACAGTTTTGATTTAGAAAATTCTGTGTTGATTAAACCTGAATTAGTGAACAATTTCTATTTTCCCTGATCTTCTTTCTCAGGGGCCTGCCGGTGAACCTGGGGACCGTGGACGACCAGGGATGCCAGGAGAGATGGTAAGCACCCAGACTATCACTTCCTATACAGTAGTAAATAGTTGTTAAACCGTTTGGTAAAAAAAGATGTTTTAGAGCCTCAAACCTGGTGTCACCTCATCAAAATTAGTCCATGAGTCTGGAAAATCTAATGTTGGGTAGCAGGGTGATGAGTGGGGGTGAGTAAACAGCAACATACTAAATGCTAAACACGGAACGTCATGCCCTGAGAGACCTGTCAATCAAGGCAGATTGACCGGCAAGACATACTCATGAAAAGTTTGAAATTTATTGAGGTTTGTTTACATTTTCAGCCATGCTAGCGGCGTGACTCTAGGGACGGCATGGTCGGTCCGTCAGTCGGTCAGCCCACCACTTTGGTCCAGACTGAAATATCTCGACAGCTATTGAATGGATTGCTTTGACATTTCGTGTGGACAATCAGGATCCATAGAGGATAAATTCTTGTTATGATCCCCTGACTTATTCTAGGAAATATGTACTATGAAATATGAAATTATTGTACCAGTTGATGGATTGGTACAAGATTTGTTACAGAGGTGGCTCCCAGAGGATGATTTGTGATCACTTTGGTGACACCTTGCCTATTGTGCCTTCATCATTTTGTCCAACACTTTGGTTTATAGCCAAATACTTACAAAACTAATGACATGTCCTTTCTGTTTCATGCTAATTAATGCATATTAAAATGCTTATTTAAGATCCTAAACATAGTAAACATTACACCTGATAAACATCAACTTATTAGCATTATCACTGTGAGCATGTTAGCATGCTAACTTTTGCAATGAGTTTAATGCATCACTGTGGCCAGCATGGCTGTAGACTCTTAGTCTTGTTTCCACACTGAATGACAAAATCACAAGTCTATTGTGGGTCTGCATTTAACGCCTCTAACGCTTTGAATAAACTTAATGGTGGGTGCAGTTAATAAAATAATGAAAAATAAAAATGTCACATTTTTATGCCGTCATCACTTCAAATAGAAATATTCTACATTTCCTACTTCCTTTTAATACAGTCTGATACATTTGGTGTCATTAGAAACTTGGGCATTGAAATTAGTTTCTGTGGAATTGGCCAATGCTTGTTCATACAGCAGTTGAGTTAAATAAAGTGTAATTTACTGTAGCTGGTGGAGCAGAGTGTGGTTAAAAGAAGTGGGTGCTGTCCGCCTGTGCATGAAACTCTATGATGTAACCATTCCCATATTGAGAGAATAAGCAATCAAAGTTGCATTGCTAAATTAAGAAGTTCCATATTTCTTTCTAAATTTGAACACACTAAGGCGTAGTTGATGTTGAAGTTTTCTAAATTTATATTGTGTAATTTCATAAGTTTCACATTCTCTCACTAAGGCCTCACTTCTTCTCATTTAGTGTTGAGTTACATAAGATTTGAAAACCACTGACATAATGTGTTTGGGTGAACAGGTTGTAAAGGTGGAGGTAATTTAAACTGTGTTACATCCATCTCAGCAACCATCTCAAAATACATAAACATGAGTCCTGGAAGTTCAATGTGACTGTATGGAAACTGAAAGCCTGGTGCCAGTATTGTGTGAGGTCTCAGTTGGGTAATAAGTTGGTACTGGGGACCAAACAGTGAGGTTAGGGATAGCTGAAAACACTCACTTGCCTGTACAACAGCTCCTGGTGACTGTTCTGTGAGAGAAGAAGAGAGAATTTATAATGGCTTCAAAAAGTATTCAGACCACTTCACTTTTTGCATACATTACTGTGTTGTAGAAATTAATGTAAAATTGCAATTTTTCCCACCGGCCTATACTCAATAATCCATAAGAACAAATTGAAAATATGTGTTTCATTTTTGGAAATTTATTAAATGTCAAAAACTGAAATCTCTCAATTACAAATGTATTCAGAGACTTAATTCAACACTTTGTAGAAGCCCTTTTGCAGCAAATACAGCTTAGATTTTTCTTGGGTTAGTCTCTACAAGCTTTACACCCCTGGATTTAGGAAGTGTATCCCATTCTTCTTGGCAAATCTTCTCAAGTGTCTGAACTGTAATCTTCAGGTCTCTCCACAGATGTTCTGTGGGGTTTGAGCCACTCAATGACAGTCAGAGACTTGTCCTGAAGCCACTACAGCTTCGTCTTGGCTAGATGCTTCAGGTCATTGTCGTGGTGAAAGGTGAACCAGTGCCCCAGCTTCAGGTCGTAGGAGGCAGGTTTTCTTCAAGGTCCTCTCTGTATTTGGCTGCATTCATTCTTCCCTCAATACTGGCAAGTCTCCCTGTCCCTGCCACTGACAAGCAGCAGTTATAGTGTCCATTGGGTTCTTGGTCACCACATAGGTGAAACACACATAGGTTTGAACCATTCAAATATTTTGCACATTATGTCCATAAGAGGGTAAACCAATACAAGAAAAGATATAACTACTTGTATAGCTGCTTATTTGAATGCACATTTTGAAGATGAACCCTCAGGTTGCTAGTGCTGCTAACTGTAACTTTTATACAAGTTTATCTCAAGGCTCCACAATTTTGCTGTGTACTGACCAAAATCTGAAGTATTTCAGTTTTTAGGTTTTGAATTGCTCAGAGTGCAACTCAGTCTGTAGCTGAGTTGGGTTTTGAACTCTCTGCCATCATTGCCACATGTTGTTGCTATTCATTCATTTCAGCTAGACTTAGATTTCATTTTGACTCCAGTGCATTATGCAATGCATTCAGCGCAGCGGATCAGGCCCACGAAAGAAATCTTTTTTTTTTTTTTTTTTTTTTACAATTCCATCATATAAATGACAAAGACCGTTTTTGCCCAGTTATTCAGTTTGTATGGCCAACTCTTGGAAGAGTTCTGGTGGTTCCAAACTTCTCCCATTTCACAATTACTGAAGCTGCTGTGCTCCTGGGAACACTCAAAGCTTCAGAAATGGTTTTATACCCTGGCCCTGATCTATGCCTCATCACAAAATTTTATTGTGGGGGTTCCTTCTGGCCTGGTTTTTGTCCTTACATGAAGTCTGAATTGTGGGACATTATGTCTGTTCAATTCAGTTAGACTCCTGTCAAGTTCTGGTCACATCTGAAGGATAATTAAAGCCAACAGGATGTACCTGACCACCACAATTTGGAGTGTCACAGCAAAAGGTCTGAATACTAATGTAACTAAGAGCTTTCAATTTCTGATAAATTTGCAAAGATTTCTAAAAAAAAAACATGTTTTTGCTTTTGGGTCATTTGGGGTTATCTAGTGTCGATTGATGGACAAAAATCTTAATCTGAATATAAATATGAATTAAAAGTTAATCCAAAACACATAGTTCTGAATACCTTCTGAAGCCATTATAGGTGGCCAAAAGTATAGATTGTGTTTAGATTGGCAGCTTCTAGGTATGAATGTGTGTAGTTATGAAAAATTAGGCAGTTAATCAACATCAGCTTTCATAATTTTAATTAACCATCTGTGAAGCAGATGCCAAACGGTTCCAGCTACTGAAATGTGAACAATGACTGCTCTTCTCTGTTTTATATGATTATAAATTGAATATCTTTGGGTTTTGAAAGGTTGCTCAGACAAAACAAGACACATGGAGATGTTACCTTTGGTTTTGGGAATTTATAATTGTAATCCTTCTCCATTTTGTCATATTTTATAAATTAAATGATAACTCAATTAATCACTAAAATGGAAATAATCATCAGTGTGTAGGACTGAAACTATCCTTGTTAAACAATGGTGAAAAAGCTCATTCATTATGTCAGTCTCCACATGTATAATTCTGTATCCATCATCCTGAAATATATCATCCTCCAGTGCCAACACAGGTGGTTTAGCATTCATTGTGAATCTGTGCATGTTCTCCACCTGTTTTCAGGCAGTTATTTTGTGTGTTGTTATTCAGGTGATGCCCTGTCTGTGTGATGAATGGCTCTGCAGAGTGGTGGAGAGGCATCAGTGTCTCAACAGTATAGACTTGTAATTTATAATGTAACTATCAGGGTGTGAAGCTCACACACGGCTGGAGAGTTTTGTTATTTCACTCTTTTTCTGGTTCATTATTTTCATTTTTTGTTTTACTTTGCTGGTTTCCTGTAAATGCTGACACACAGGCTGATAGAGAAACAGTCAGTATCCACAGTGGCTCTACCTCTGATGATTTATGTTGCCTGACAGGGGGAGCAGGGTCCCAGGGGTCCTCCAGGACGAGCCGGGGCCCCAGGGAGAGATGGTGAAAATGGAGAAGACGGTCAGCCTGGGTCACCTGGTGCTCCTGGATCACAGGTGGGCATATTCTCTATAGTAAACACTGCTAGTCTAGGATGAGTGTGTTACAGTTGGTTAAATATGTGTTTGTTTTTTCACCTGTTTAAATCTTTCCATCTTGTCTCTAATTGACATCAGGGCCCCTGGGGATACAGGGGAGAACGAGGGTCCAAAGGGGAAAAGGGTGATGAGGTGAGGAATAAAACTACACAGCTGCTTTTGTAAGGAGGAGAAGTCAGCACCATTTAAACTTTTGATTTACTGTTTGTGAAATTAAACATGTGTGGAGTGAAGAACACATTGTTGTACTGCATACAGTTTGAGCAACAACTCATAAATACTATCTTTCTCTTTTCTCTTTTACTCTAATACTGTCTTTCTTTTTTTAACCATTGACCATTTATTTAGCACATATATTTTTGATGACATTGTTTATTTAGGAATATTTTGTTCAGCTAACATTTTGTCAAATCCAGATCCAACTGTTTGGTCTAATTAGTGCTCAGTTTCATTTGAGGTTTTTTGATACTCGTGCCTTTGAGAAATGATTTGGGAAATATTATGAATATTATATTTTATTTAACCCCATTTTCATTTTATTAAAGAATCTAATCTTCTGTTAACTGTTGTCATCACACAAGCAGCTGAACAATAACTTTGCTTAACTAAAAAATAAAAATGAATAAATAAATTAATAATTTTTTTCTCTACCTCCCCAGGGTCTCATCGGCCTCAAGGGTCCAAGAGGGGACATTGGTGAACCTGGTGAGAAGGTACTCTGATGCATTTATTTGTTATCCACCTTTTAAATTAGAATTTGAATTGGCGCCAATGTTATTGACACACAGCGGTACACAACATTAATGAAAGACCTCTGGTCCTTTGTGGCTTTCGTGAAGCATGAAGATGTGGATTGCTTTAAAACAGACGGACTGTACTGCCTGCATCTCTTGATATGATGATATTTCTTTTTGAACAATACAGTATGTTGTAATGATCACATACTCTTCTGTCTTTGTATAGGGCTCAACTGGTTTACCTGGCCCACCTGGTCTTGTCGGACTACCAGTAAGTGTCTCCACTGTTACAGCATCTTTTTATATGTGTAACAAACCAGGAATTTCACATTATGTTCATAACCTTTGTGAAGAAAATAGGTGGCTCATTTTTCCTTTATCTGTGACATAAAGTCAAATGTATGTACAAATGGATATCAGCACTTTAAAATTTAAAACAATAAGGATGACAGTGAAGATGTCTCTGTGTAATACATTTCTTACACGTCTAACTGGTGTAAAATAAGAGGAAAAAGGCAATCAGCTTTTATGAGAAAAAAAAACATTTGCTTCTAAGTCTGTTTTAACCCCAAATGAGTCCTTCTTTGAGCTTTGAGTTCTAAGTCGTGAGGCGCTGACTTTCATTTTCTCTTCAATCTATTCTCTGGTTTATTTTGATTCTACATGGCATCAAATGAGAATCTCACCGCACAGATTCTGTGACCAGTCTGTATCATTGATCCTCACTTTGAATACAGTGTTTTCTATGTATTTTAATGATATATTGAATACATCTTTATTTTTATCTTCTCTGCAGGGGTCTCAAGGGGTCAGAGGTGGCTACGGGCTAGAGGGGCCCCGTGGTCCTGATGTGAGTCATGTGCTATCCGACTGTTGATCTGAACTTTTGTAACTTTGCACTTTACACAATCAGGGGTGACCCACAACATCATCAGTTGGCCTGAGAAGACATGGATTTTGCAGCATTTGTAAATTGGGGAAATGTATTAGACATCCAACCTGTCCATGGCTTGAGTCTATCCCAACAGCTTTGGGAAAGAGGAGGTCTACACCATTAACATTAATATATACATACATAATTTTGTGCGTTCTTTGCTGCTGTAGCGTTTTGTGTTAATGATGTGAATGAAGGTTAAGACTGACTTATACACTGTTGCTCATAAAGTTGGAATAAAATATTTTTTACCTCTTTCCATGAAATGATTGTGACAATGTGATTTATTTCATTTCACCTGGGTAATTGGGACACATAATGTAATTATCGCACCTGGTCAAAAGTGATTACTGATGCATTTAAGTAGGAATAAACAGAGGATTGTGTCTGAAAACTAAATTATTCCAACTTTGTGGGCAACAGTGTATCTTAAATTTATCATACAGTTTTAATCATGCAAGATTCTGAACTGTAAATATGAACCTCTGGACACTGAGGACAGTAAATCATTCACACTGTTACTTTCTTGCTGTTACTAGGGGGAGAGCGGGCTGGATGGCCCCCCAGGTCTGCCAGGGCCAACGGTAAGAAGACAGAAGGATAAGGTGATAAAATATTTGACTGTTAGTGTCAGTTATGAATATATACCTAATATTTTTTTTGTGTGCGTGTCACAGGGAGCACCAGGTGTTACAGGAGGTGTTGGCGCTCAAGGAGTTAATGGCTCGAGGGTAAGATTACACTACAAGTATTTATTACCAGCGACAGCATGGCTGGTATTATTTCACCTTGTGAGTCTTCGTGTGTGTGTGTGTGTGTGTGTGTGTGTGTGTGTGTGTGTGTGTGTGTGTGTGTGTGTGTGTGTGTGTGTGTGTGTTGTGTGTGTGTGGTGTGGTGGTGTGTGTGTGGGTGGTGGGTGTGTGTGTGTGTGGTGTGGGTGGGTGGGTTGTGTCATCAATGGGAAAATGTGTTGAGACATCCACTGTAGCAAGAACTACCACAGAGGAGGTTTTGAGGTCTTTTGAAGCAGATGTTTGAATGTCTGTGGACAGATGTCACCACAATAGCGTCACAACTGTACAAGATACATTAAGGAAACTTTACAGCTTTGTAGTTAAGATCAAAATGAAGCCAGAGTTTGGTCTGACTCATGAGTACTAAGTTAATTACTAGTACTAGTAAAAAGTACTGAGTGCTCATGAGAGTGTCAACATGCTGATTGGCATCACGGGCGGTGTGATCCCATTGTGAGATGGTCTGTAGTTATAACTCTGGAGGTGAAAAATGTTTTCACCTAGCTCTGTCTTTTTTTCAGTTAAATTATTATTCATTAAACAAGTTCCCAGAGCCCAAGCGGATGTCTTCAAATGAGCTGTTTTGTCTAAGCAACAGTCCCAGACCCAGAAATATTCAGTTCATAATGACATCAAATAGAGAAAAGCAGCAAATTGTAATATTTCAGAAGCTGGAACCAGAGACTATATGACATTTCTGCTTGATGAGTGACATTAATGAGAGGATAGATGCATCATCAAAATTGTTGATTCATTTTCTGTTGATCAAGAAATGTTTGATGGAAACAGGCAGATAGTGACTAGCTGACTAAATGATGGTAATTAGTTTGTAGTTTGGGGACCAGTTTTATAGATCTCAAACAAAATCAAGCTTAGATTTCAGGAAATTTCTCTTGTTTATAAAATGTACATGTCAGATAAAATTTCTTTCAGGGGGACATGGGACCTGCTGGCAGTGTTGGTCACAAAGGCCCACAGGTATATATTTTGATTGATCATAATTATGCAAGTTTTTTTTTTAGAGACTATGTTTGACATGAAATGTGTTGCCTTCTTTTTCTTCCCATTAGGGGCCTCCAGGTTTAGAGGGACAGATTGGACCCCCTGGACTCAGAGGGCCTCAAGTGAGTACAGTTCAAGATGAGACCGTTGATGGAGACTTGTGACTCTTTGCGGTGCTGCTTCATGAACTTGTGCAGGGAGTTTAAGTCAAACTGTGTATCTTAACAGGGACATTTGGGACTGATCGGTTTCCCCGGCCCTAAAGGACATCCTGTAAGTTTGTTCTCATCATGTTATTTTGTTTAATTTTTTTTCTTTTAAAGTTTATGTTTTTGGGCTTTTGTGCCTTTATTGGACAGGACAGTATAGAGAGACAGGAAATGGGGAGGCAGAGAGAGGGAGAATGACATGCAGTAAAGGACCGTCCGATGCAAGATTCGAACCGGGGCCGACTGCAGCGAGGACTGTAGCCTCTACATATGGGGCGCCTGCTTAGACCACTGCACCACTCGACGCCCCTTTCTTTTGTTTTCTTTTGGTGCACAGGGGATTTGCTGTTCCACATGGTGGAACAGCAAACATTACAATCTTGTGCATAATGAGGAGCCAACAGTAGTGTATCAACAAGGCCTGACCATTTAAAATCAGAAGATACAGTATCTTATCACTGCTTTCCTGTTTGTTTGTCTTTTGTTTTCTTACCAGGGGCCTGTGGGACCCATGGGTGCCCGGGGGGAACCCGGCTTTGAGGGGCCCATGGTGAGTTACACTTGAACATGTTCATCAGGGTATTACATCATAACAATAATACACTTGCAGGTTCACACTACAGTGGCAAGAAAACAGTGTGAATTACCTGGTTTCCTTTAGTAATTGATCATAAAATGCAGCGTTTTCCCATACACCTTGCTAGTGAGGTGTTTAGGGGACATCTGTAAATTATAGGTTGTAGTGGGTTACATTCTCCCCCTCTAAACAGCATGAGTCTCTGCATGTACACTGGTCACACGCTGCATCACCAGCGACCACAAGTAAAGTCTTAGCCGAGCTGAAATTTTATCTGATCTTCATCTAAACCACAAGTGTAGACAAAATGAATGTGCTTAAGCTAATAACACATAAACAATCTTTAGCGTTCTCATTCAACACATCCATTAAACATTCACGCAGCTGGTGGAAAAACCAAGTGAAGCCTTGGATTTAATAACTGTTTGAACTTCCTTTTCCCCCAATAACCTCAAACAAGCTCTTTAGTAGCTGTAGTGCACAATGTTCAAGAGGATTCTTCCTTATAGAGCTGCTTCAGCTCAGACATATTCTCAGGATGTCTGGTGTGAGCGGCTCTCTTAAGTTCATTCCACAGCATCTCTCCTGGATTAAGGTCAGGACTCTGACTGGGCTCCTACAGGTGGATTTTCTGTGTTTGAAGTCATTCTATAGTAGATTTACTTTGATGTTTAGGGTCATTATCCTGCTGCATCACCCAACTTCTACTAAGCCTCAGCTGGTGGACATCCACCCTAACATCATCCTGTAAGATACCTTGATAAAGCAGAGATTTCATTTTCCCCTTGATGTATGGCCTCAAATTAGAGTCAAAAAGATTTTGAACTTGTAAAGTTTGTAGATGTAAATCAACCTTTCTAAATCTATGAATTTGCATGAGAAATTCAAATTTGTACGTGTGTAAAAAACCTTTGTATTTGTAGAAAAAAAAGAGACAAATCAAACATTAAACAAATGATATCAGTGATAAGGTTACACAAAGACAGTCAAAAAAGTCTGGCTCTTCTGTGACCCAGGTGGATTTGCATGCATACACAGCACATTAAATTTTAACCATTGTTTTCTACAGGATCTTCTTTTTTACCTCACTGATCATCTGCGTTGTGTCTTTGGAGTTATCTTAGCTTTGCCTCCAATTCTACGGAGAGTAGCCACAGAACTCCTTTTCCACACAGTTTGTCTAACTGTGAACTGATGAATATGTAAACTATTGCTATCACTTGGTAACTCTCTCCAGGTTTATGTAAATCAACAATTCAGCAGCTCAAAATGTTTGAGTGTTTTTATAAATGAAAATAGCTCAAACCCACACCTCCAATCTTGTTTCATTTGTTCGACTTGTTAGTGCCGTTAACTGCCAACCTATACTGTGAATGTTTGAATTATGTTTTCAGTACAGACAAGATCAATACAATGATTTGTGTGTTATTAGTTCAAATAGATTGTGTCTGTTTTCTTGCATCTGCATGTATGAACAGACATATATTACATATAGATATATGTAAGAAGGTCAAAAGCACATGTGAATATTAAATTTAGTACCAGTTGTGTGCAAGGTTTTGTATCTGGTCCCATAACTTTTGTTACCACAGTAGATGTACCTCACTGTACAGCATAATATATTTTCACATTGATCTCTACAAGCACTCTGTTGGTGGACGTTTAGCTGCAGCCTCACAGTGCCATCTCCTGGATGTAAGGTCTCAGTGGATCATGACATGATTCTGTGACACTGAAATAACTTCTTCAGTGTCTGCTGAGCTTCACCACAATAACTCTCCAGCAGATTAAAGTTTTCAAGTTGATGCACTACAAAATAAATTCCATTTTTACTAGTCATTTCACCCGCTATCTGTCCTGCTGTATAGTTGGTATTGTAGTGATTGGTTTATAAATTTGCTTACATAGTATGTAATGCTTACTTAATCTGATGTCTCCTTTTCAAGTTTTAAAACATATATTCAAGAGCTTTTGGCTTTGTTTACAGGGCACTCCAGGGCTACAAGGTCCTGCAGGTTTTCCCGGGGTAACGGTAGGTGCCCAGTATAGATAACAAACATATTCACTGCTAAACATTATTGGCTGAACCTGCTTTTGATCATTTCCTTCTTTACAGGGTAACAGGGGACCAGATGGGGACAAGGGGGATGTGGGACCTAAAGGCAACAAGGTAGGACACAGCAATTTTCTGTTTGATAGCACTGAATGAAGAGAATGAGCAACTTAAATGAATAGCTCAACACTTTGAGGGATATGATTATTGACTTGCTCTTTGAGAGTTACATTTATCAACACCATTCATGTCATGTACGCTAAATGTAAAGCAGCAACCGGGGACTGGTTAGCGTAGCTTAGCACAGAGACTGGTAACGGGGAAACAACTAGTCAGGCTCTGTCCAAATCTAACAAAATCCAACTACCAGCACCTTTAAAACCCATTAATGAGCTTGATTTATCTTGAGTTTTCTTTAATCAGCACGAAACAGACTTAAAGAAAGTGAATAAGTGTATTTACCAAAATGTCAAACTATTCGTTAACATTGACACATGATTCAGAGAGGTCTCTGCCCCTTAGAAAGTCTCTCTGTTTTTCTCTTAGGGTATTAAGGGGGCAGAAGGCATTAAGGGTCCTCAGGGAGAAAGGGGCCCCACCGGCTTCCAAGGTTTCCCAGGGAACAAGGGCCAGCCTGGCCCCAAAGGCACTGAGGTACACTTTACAGCACTGTGGTTATTCGTAAATATTCTATGTGTAAGTATTTTTAAAATAAGATCCACCTACAGTCCTGTTTTCAGACAACACACCACTTGTTTTAGATCTATACTGGCAACAAATAAAATCCTTTCCATTACCATGTTATTAACCCACTGTGTTTGCAGAGCATTATTGTATTACATGCTGTTTTAAGCAGGAGAAAGAAGTGTGTGGTGAAGGTGAAAAAACAAGATAAGCTTGACTGATTTTATATTTCTTCATTCAGGGCACAAATGGAGAAACTGGTCCTCAGGGAAAACAGGGCAGTCGTGGGTTAAAGGTCAGTGATGATTTGTGCATCCAACACCGTGAAATGTCAGATGACTTCATATGTTGATCCAGATTTAACACCAGATTTAACTGTGTAACATTAGAGCTTCCAGGGGCCTAATACACATGCATTTAACAATCCACATTCTTGTTTCTACACTTGGTCATTCCACAGAAAGATAACGTGTTTAAAAAGTCTAAAAGTATTGAAGTATTTTTCTTGGAGCATGTGGAGCATGAGTCACAATGAATACTGTGAAATAATGTTTTAGATTCACTCTCAGCCTTCTGCTAAATGTCTAATCCATTGTAAAAGAAATAACTACAGCTAGTTTGTTTGTCTATCTTTGACACACAAGGTAAAGTCTTGATTGTTTAAATGTTTTTAAAACCGACCGATTAAGCCACAATTTACATCTTCACTAATAACTGACTGTTTTTAGCAATGTGTGGATGATGAAGTCTCTCCTGAAGTGAGTCATTAATTATTAGGGGTTAAAGATTCCTGCCATCTTTAAGTTTACAGTGAACTCAGTGTGGGTGAAGTATGATTGTCTCTTAAAATACTGCACCTTAGTCTTACAATATACTGATTAAAACAGAATTGATGTTGAGGAGCTGGAGATATTCAGAGGTTTTCCTTTAGTGTGGGAGCTCCAATAATGAGTGGATCCTACATTTCCCATAATCCTACTTTCCGTTAGTTTGTAGTCTCCATGTCCAATGACATCATCAGGGTTATTGTTTCCTTGAGAGCCGCAGAAGACTTTACAACTGTTTTCTCAGCCTGAGTGGTATTAACCATGATGAGTAATTTGAACTTGATGTCTAAAATTCACCACTTTAAAACAGCAACCTGATTATTCACCTTCTTTGACCTCAGGGAGTCTTCCTTCATAAATATGTTTGTTTGCAATGCTGACTTTGCTGATGTGACTATGTTACACAAGAGTAGTAACCCACACTCTGCTCCATTTGTCTAAAGTTGTCATAAATGAATCATCTGTCATTTCTGCTTCACCCTTTCTGCACAATTTCTCCCATTTTAAGAACAAGAGAGCAAATTCATGCTTTTTTATTAAATTGTCATACTGATGCTCAGCAACAAACACTAACATCTAAACCTCCTTGAAGGGGAACAGGGGACCAGATGGACGTAACGGCAAACCAGGACCCAGAGGGAACAAGGTATAAGACTCCTTTTAGCTCATAGGGTTCATCACACTGCCATCCCAGAGGCAAACATGAACTGAAAAAAAAATATGGATATACTGTTTCTGTCTCTAGAGTAAACACAGAAAAAGACAGCAAGAAACAATTTTTAAAAAATGCCATATTAGAGGTAGCACACAGAAACTGCACCGCACATCATCAGCTTAAGAAACTTACAATGTGAGTTGCTTTGTATTCAGTTTTAGTTACTTAATGCTAATGTCTTCTCTCTTTCCTTCTCTCCAGGGTCGGACTGGACAGAGGGGCCACACTGGCCAGCCAGGCCCATCGGTAAACTTGCTCACTGTCAGAAATTATTCATAGTGTATTCAAGATGAAACTCTCTGTAGCTCATGGTCATATGTTTGAAACGCAGGTCAGACAGAATCTGAATACTGGTATTACAAATATGAGAACTAAAGTTTAGTTAAATTGTTGAATTTATGAAGTAGTTTTAACAAAACTTTCTTTTTACATATACATTTCTAGTATGAGATGCTATTTTGTTTCTAGTCATAATCATGAAGCAGATTTCTAGATAAAAAGTAAACTCACCTGCCATACTGGCCTGCAGAGGCTAAACAGATTCATTCTTAATTGCTCACTTTGTTTCTATTTGAAAAAAAAATGTCATATTTTGAAAGTAGTCAAAAAAAAAGAGGTTTACAGGATGAACAGTTTGCATGTGTGTGTCTTTTGTGTCTGTGTGTGTTTTTGGTTGATTCCTCCCAGGGTTTGCTGGGGCCACCTGGACCAGAGGGAGCAGAAGGAAAGCCTGGTATACAGGTTCCCATTCTCTATCATATTTCAATCCCATCACCTATAAATGTTGTTTTTGTGTGTTGTCTTTACTTTCTGCCAGTGGACCAGTGTTTATTATTTTGTGAATTATTTCCAATAAACATGGACTTATTCCACACAGTCTTTATCACTGGGTTTGATTCCCAGCTTTGACTTTTAGAGGAAAGAGGGCTTTGTAGAGTGATGACTACAGAGGCAACAGACATTTCACTGCACATAGTCACACACTTTAAAAAATTCTTCTCTGAATACAAGATTAGATGGCTGTTGGGTGATGGTTTTGAAGAGTGACATACTGAAACACTACCAAGATGAAAATGCCCTAAAAATGTCAAACCTTCTCCCAAGTTGAGTTGAGGTTACTCCTCTGAAGTAATTGTTGGTTCAGACAGTAGGAGGCAGTCTTTGTACAGTACTGTGATGAGCTGTTGTACATCTACGGTAGAGTTCATGTTGTATCCCCGACTCATTTATTCATCACTACATTTTATCCAATATTGAGAGACAGAGTTTTACTTGGCTGGAAGATTTGTCTAATTCTGACATATTACATTACAGTACATTATTGAGAGTTTCCATCTTCATAATCAGTATTGCCATGTTTTTGTGTGTTATAACAATGATAAAAGTTTAAATGAAATTGATTAAGAGACTGAATATTCATGTCCTGAGTTTATACATTCATTCCTTACATGACCTCTGCTGCTGGGAAAAATTGCATCTCTGGTATTTTCTCTGTCTCTGTTTCAGGGTCCCTCAGGTGCAACTGGCAGTGACGGCAGTAAAGGACTGACGGTAAGACTGTTAGCTGCAGGACAACCTCAGCGTTCAGTTTGTGACATCATCCCTGCACCTCTGCGTTTTTTGGCTCTTTGCCCCCAGCTTCAGGGTTCAGTTGAATACAAACACATTATTACAGTTTTACAAGATATCCCAGGTTCAAATTATGGAGGATTTTATAGATTTGTGAGCAGGAAACTCAACGAACGCTGCCAAAAACATATTTTAAAAGGACACAACAGAACCTGCTACCAGCCAGTTAAACAGATCAGGTGTGTTGGCTAAACGGCTGAGTGTGCATGTGTGTATGTATCACACATATGCCTACACATACTGTATAATAGTATAGACACACTCAATGACCAAAAGTATTTGGTCACCTCAACATTGCACCTACATGTGTTTTTGTCCAAAAGTTGAAACTAAAGAGTCAAAACCATGAAAAAGAGCCACAGAACAAATATTTTGTGTTCAACAGTTTTTGTTAAAACTTTTAATCCTACTGGATTTATTAATCTAAATGTACTGCTGCTGACGAACAAGTTTTGTATTACCAAATTTACAGTCACCACATTATTATTAATTAAAGACAAATACAGCCTGTTAAAGAGTGTTAATCTAAATTCTTAATTACCAATACATTATCCATAATGACATTTAGGCAGTAGCTTCATGAGTTCCATTAAATGAACGACCAAGAAGCAATTAAATGGTAGATTAAGCGACTATTAGTAAAATTCTGAATCAACTCGTCTAAAAACCAAAAATATAACTGTTCACTGCACGTCTGTTATTTGCAAGATATAAATGGCAGTTTGTTTCACATTTGCATTTGGTATTTTTAGGCGGCTTTGCAATTCTCATTATGTTTTCTCATTCCTCTCTGTCCCTTTTCACTACATTTGTCTTTTATTACTGTCACTTTTTTAGGGTTTTCAAGGGGTTGCTGGGGAGAGAGGAGCAGATGGTCCACCAGGTTCTCTGGTACGCCAAGTTGTCACTCTGCGGCTTTGTCATCTGAAGGACAGAGGACTTGAAACTGACTTCTTCAGAGTTGTGGCAGCCAGGCAGGAAATTTGGAGATGAACAGCTCCTTTGATGCGTATAACTCGAGAAATAGCAGCTGGGTTGACTGTAAATATGCAAGCGGCTGAAAAATGAAGCCAACACCGAAGTGCCAGAAAGCAGTTTGTTGAACGGCCAATTGAGGCTGGCTCCATCAGTGATTCAATCCTCATAGACTCCCATGTTAAAATGCCCAACTTTACAGCAGAAATAAACATGTTTACAGCCTGGTACAAAAAACGGTTTTGGTCTCTGTAGCTAATTTGCTCCTTCATGACAACTGATTACTCACCCGTTTAAATTTTATTAAGGCTTTAAGTTATGCATGATTGACAGAATGATGACGACAGCAGAGCAGCCCACTCTGAGCCCACTCTTCAGAAACATGTGGGTGATGTCACGGAGGCTATATCCGTCTTTATGTACAGTGTATGCAAATATGGCAGCCCACAGATAACAATGTTTTGTTCAAAGATGAAAAACAAAGGACACATCAGACTCATTCAGCTAAAACGTCAGGAACATCAATCTTCTAATTTAACGTGTGGTCAGACAGCCAACAAGCATTTTTTCAAAAGATTTCAGATTTCTTTACATGTAGAAAAATCCTTATTTTCACTGTGAATGTTGCCATACATATCTGTGCAGTCCTGCAAATCTGATTGGCTAGGTAGATAAACATTGATTTGTACTTTGGCCGTTTGGTGATGGAGTGTTTTCATCTGATAGGGGCCACCAGGGAAGACAGGACCTCCAGGCTTACCAGGACCCCCAGGAGAGATGGTGAGTCCACAGGTGCACAGATACTGGTTGTGTGTGTGTGTGTGTGTTTGTGTATTTTGTCAATTTTATCTTACATAGATGTGCTTTTTGTGTTTGCGTTTTGTGTGTGCGTTTTGTGTGTGTGTTTTGTGTGTGTGTTTTGTCAGGGTTTCACAGGGAAGCCAGGCATGGAGGGACCTCAGGGCCCATTAGGCATGTATGTAAGTGATTTTTCAGCCGGGCAGATACAAGGAATGCACCTCCACTACCTTTTCATAGCACATACACTGTACACAGGATATACAATACATGTACAGTATAACGTATTGTTGCACAATAAGACTTGGCACTGGAAAGCACTGATTATGGAGCCTTGACAAAATTATCAAGATGTAGAACAAGCTAATAACAACTATCCAGGGCCGTCCCTCTGGTAGCTGTTGTGTGGTGCTGGATTTATGACATTAATTGATAATTCAGTTCTTCCGTCTGTTGTTCCCTCTCCCATTAGGGTATCCAGGGGAACGTGGGCATGCGTGGGCCTCCAGGTTTTATGGGAGAAAGGGTATGGTCATCTTTGTCTCACCTGTCTGCGATGTTAAAGCCTCATGACAACAGTAAAAGATGCTAAAAAGTTTATTATAAATGATATTCAGATATTTTTGCTAACATTTGCTGACAAAGTGCAGACGTTTTTCTTATATACTTGAGTTGTTAAAATCTCTATGTTTGCAAACACTGCAACATTAAATGTGACAAGAAAAGTCAGACTAATAATCTCTTATTTTCTTCTCCACCAGGGTGAGCCAGGTTTACGAGGTTTATCTGGGCCTGTCGGGAAGCCAGGACCTGCCGTAAGTGTACAGTCAATTTTAGTTTTTTTTTTATTTTCTATCCATGGACCCCTGGTAACTGTTAGGACTATATGAGAGAAGGACTGAGTATTGTTGAGAGGATTTGATTAAGACAGCGGCGATGATGGGGTCACGCCAAGGAGGGTTTGGTCTATAAACCAGTGAAGTGTGCAGCTGGTGTGCAGGGACTGCCAGTTTATGGAAGCGAACAGGACACAGTGATTGATTTTGTCGGGGGCACTGCTGGCAAAACTAATGGCAGAGTGACGTGACACGTTCAGCTGATGGAGGACAAATAACTGAGTTTCACTGTTGTCCTGCAATAGTTCCACTGTACAGTATGTGCTTGACACTGTTTGCAATTTATATCCTTACAGTAAGTATGGGTCTGGGGGGGGGGGGGGGTTGCAGGTCTAAGTCAATACTTATTTAAATGTAGTTGAAAAGTGACATTCTGTACATGTTTTGTTTACATACGACCATGGTTTCAACACTACTTCAATAACTGTATCTTATTGTGTAGCACATTTATCATGGAACCTGCTACAGGTTCAAATACTGTGCAATAGTTAGAAAAACGACCATATATTTGTTATTTACTGCCTGTTGGAACCAGGATCATTTCATATCTCCAGGAAAACCAACAGGCCTCTAACACTGGACTCATGTGAAATTAAACTCCATCAAAACGAATAAACATCCAATGAAATTCACCAAGCACTTTATTAACAACACCATACTAATACTGGGTAGTTCCTCCCTTTGTTCTCAAAACAGCCTCAATTCTTCATGGCATTGATTCCACAAGGTGTGAGAAACTTTCCTCTGCTCCATGTTGACATGACTGCATCACATCATTTCTGCAGATTTGTAAGCTGCACGTTCATGCTGCCAACCTCCTGTTCTACCACATCCCAAAGGTTTCTACTGAATTCAGGTCTGGAGACTGGGGAGGCCACTGAAGCTCTCATGTTCATGAAACCAGTTTGAGACGACTTTTTCTTTGTGACATAGAGCATTATCCTGCTGAAGGTATCCATTAGAAGATGATAAACTGTGGTCATAAGTTTATGCCTCAGCAGAAATCCAAATTCATCAGACCATTCTACACTTTTAACTTTAACTGTCCAGTTTTGGTGAACCTGTGCCCCCTGCAGCCTCAGATCTTTGTTCTTGGCTGACAGGCTGACATGGTCTTCTGCTGTTGTAGCTCATCCACCTCAAGCTTGTTGTTGATTCTGAGAAGCTTTTCTGTTCACCACAGTTGTAAAGAGTTGTAATACGAGTTACCATAGTTCTGTCAGCTCCAACTAGTCTGGTCATTTTCCTCTGACCTCTCTCATCAACAAGGTGTTTCTATATGCAGAGCTGCCGCTCACTGGATGTTTTTGTTTTTCTCACCAAACTTAGTAAAAAATGCTAGAGGCTGTTGTGAAAATCTCAGGAGATCAGCAGTTTCAGAAATACTCAAACCAGCCTGTCTGGCACCAACAATTATTGCATTGCACTTTAAGATTGGCTGATTGGATAACTGCATGACCAAACAGGTGTACAGGTGTTCCTAATAAAGTGCTCATTGAGTGTAAATGTCCATGAACACACAGCAGTAACACAAGTAAACACATACGAGCCTCTGTGCTAGCATCTACTGTATCCACAGACAGAAACAGCAGAAACTTAAATGAAGCTTTGTTTTGTTGTTGTTTCCATAATTAGACAAATTGTGTAAACTGATGTTTTCCCCTCTGAGTCTTCTGCTCTGTTTTGAAGTCTTGGGTGAGGCTGAAAGGTCAAACTTTCCTCTTGAAACTCATCAAAGTTTCTGCACCCTATAAATCAGTCCTCCTGTCTTTTGGTTGGTTAGATCTGGGAATAAGAAAGTCCCTCTTGCATGGAAGGGGTTAGTTTCAGTAATGGAAGTCAGACTGTTTTCTGAAGTTCACTTCTTCCCCACAGTCCTCCTTGCAGTGTCATTGGCCACACACTCTGCTCACTCACATGGTTGCTCACTGCTGTAGTGAAATCCATCAATGTGACATAGAGTGAAATCATACAGTACCAAGGAGGTGGATTCATCAGCTGCCGGCTTGAACACTAAATACGCTGGTAAACTGGACGCTTTCGTGTTCACTTCACTGGAAGCACTGACAGCCACACTCTAGCAAATAATGCTGTCAACAAAAGGAAGACATGTACAGCCTGAGTCAGGTTCTGTGTTTTACTGCAAAGGTTTTTTGAAATATCATGTCTATACTTTATTCTCAGAGGGAATAAAAGAAAATGTAATAAGACAGAGAGTAGACAGAGCCGGTGGGGATCAGTGTTTGCCAAAAAGTGAAAGCTTTAAACCTCTGATTTTCTCTTAACCGTGTGACAATACAGTCCTCACTGTCCTTGAGATAAAATAACTGTTCAGGATTCACAATTCATTAAAAACTTTGTTTTTGTTATTAGTTCAGGTAAGTTTTCTAACTTTCTTTGCAGGTAGCAGCCGAAGTGAGGTAATAGCAAATGCAGTCATGAAAGAGTGTTTAAAGAACAACAACAACAATTCATCAAAGGGATGAATTAGTTAAAACTCACCGATTGTTTCCTACTATCCACTGTACACACTGTAGCTCACGAAGCAACCAGCAGTAAAACTATCCCTCAGTGCAGATAAAGGCATTTGACATACTTAGCTGGAAGGTTATGTTCAGTGCATTTTTAAAGTTTAGCCCTAGAGAATAATATAGTGACTGGATTAAGGCACTTAATGCATCAGCAAACAGATAACCTCACACTACATGTTGCTAAAAGACAAGGACGCCCACTTTCCCCGTCCCCATCTGTCATACTTTATCAAACTGCAGCAATCAGGCCTCTCTGTGTTTGTTTACAAGAAAACCCCACAGGGTACATCTAATCTTAACCTGCATGTGTTACAGAGAGTACAGGTAGCCTACATATAAAGTGAATAGTGTATGGTATAAAATGTATCTGAACAGCATAAAATAATATGAATAAGTTATTTATTTTGATAAGATTCAATCCATCCCGCTCCTAAAACGTGCTCACCATGAACAAAAAGAAGCACTGCAATCATACATTCTGCCGCTGTTTGTAATTTTTATTGTGTGTCATGTTTATTATAGTGTTATTTCCCTTACCATCATTGTGGTCTTTGACCAACAATACGAACTGCTTTTACAGGTTGAGTTCATACTGCAGTTGAGAGACAAGAATACAAATTATGTCAGTTTTACACAAAAAAGATCAGATCTGCTTTATCTTATTTCCTCTCTCTCAGTGCTCAGACAGAAGTGTGAGCCATGGGTGGGATTAGCATGTTCTGACTTGCCTTGTCTGTTTTTCTTTTTCAGGGTCTGCCAGGTCCTCCTGGAGAGAAGGGACTCCGGGGACCTCAGGTGAGAGAAGCCTTTAATAAAAGAGTTTGTAAATCAAAGAGAAGCAGATATTTTGCTTCCATCACGTTTTGTTGATGGATTTAAACTGTGATGCCGGTGGTTTTCAATAATTTAAACTCACTGGTCCTGTTCAGACCAGGTATTAACACCTGTCTGTGGTGATCTGGTCCGATCACTCTGAAAATATTTCACTATTTGAAATGGCAAAACTTTGTATTATTTTTTAGCTGTGCACAGTGCGCTGATTTGCTCAACCCCTCTGTGCCTCTCGCTCTCTCTCTCCCTCTCTCTCTCTCTTACAAACACACACACAAACACATTGACACAAACGTTAATACAAACACTCGAAATGCAATTTAAAGCAAGGTGTGAATTGACGAACTTAGAGCTGACCACTTGTGATCAGATCACTGAAGACGCATGTTAAGCCAGGTCTGAACAGGGCTATTGTCCATAAGGAAATCCAGTTTGTAAAAGTAGCACAGCATAATGTAATGTACAATATCATACATGTATTTGTATGTTACCAATGTTCGCATGTACATTTTCTTTGTGTCTTTCTGATGAAGTTCCGACAAAAGCCCAGTTATCAAAAACACGCCAAAGAGCATCACAGATTTATAGATCTAAATCTGTATCATGGACAACAGTACCTTAGTTATGAACTTTTTAAGCAAACCTCAGTATGAGCTTCACACTCACTGAAGCTTCTTATTGGGATCCTGAGGGATATTTTTTTTATTTTACTGGTGGTGCTATCACGACACTAAAACAAAGGAGAAGGTGAACGTTTGGAGATATGGAGGCAGCTGACGAGAGCTTGGTGGGAGTTTACTGTTGCTGTTTTTGGGACCATTTGTCAGAAGTTGGGCCACCTACAGTTCCTTGGGGCAGAAATAGTTAGATTTGTAGGGAAACCTTCGGAACTAACAGACCATGTGTTTCACTTTTCTGTTTCTTAATCAACCAGTGTCTTAAGTGGAACTCATGTTTTTAATCACAGGGCCGTCCTGGAGATGAAGGACCCAAAGGGATACAAGGCCCAGCAGTGAGTTACAGTTCATAGTGAAGTTTGTTGGTCTGTATTTTTAGGAATGTTTTTAATAATTTGTGTTTGTATTTAAGTGAAATACATCATGAAGAGAGAGGATGTGCGCAGCAGGGTGGTGTGTCTGTAATTATCAAGCAGTAAAGTTCAAGTTTGGTGTCAAACATCACAAGCAGTTGTGCAGGTGCTGTCTGTCTGTCCAGAGGAAGAAACCTGCCAGAAGCTGCACATAAAAACTATACTATACTTCTCTCATCAACAAATCAGACTTAACATATTCATGAAGATGCCTTTGAGTAGAATTGCTGAGTCGCAGCAAAATTGGATAACGTCAGTATCAGTGGCAATCATCAATCATGAATAAGGTCAAATTTAACAGAATGGTATCATTTTTATTGTGGAAGAATTCACTCCATCATTAAACTCAGTGCACTGCTCTGAAATTGAATGAAAGAAGGTGATGTCATTGATTTTCTATCAGCGAGGTCCCTACAACACATGCTGACAATTGCTGTTCATTGATTATCACAGTCAATGAACTAATCATCGCAAAAATTAGGAAACTGTCAGCCATCTGTACTTGTTGATGTGCACCACTGATTCATAAAAACAGAACAGCATGTGTATGTATTTGTTGTGCATGTGTGCTGACTTGGATCTCTGATGCGTCTGTAGCTGATGTGAGTCACAGCTGACTGAATGTTATTAATAAACTTTACAACAATGACACGCTAAAACAACAACAGATACAAATTTGCAACGGATGACAAATGTTTCACTGGGTGATTCTTGAACTTGTTCTCAGCAGACTCCAAAATGTCTTTCAAACATTGTTACATTAAAATTGCAGATTAGATTATTGTGATATTCTTTTGACACAAAGGTTTAAATATTGCTCTAACAGCTGTTCTGTGATATTTAGGGCCCTCCAGGTGTTCCAGGTGCCGATGGGGCAATTGGAAAACCCGGACCCAGGGGAAGTATAGGGCCCCCAGGATCTCAGGGGCCACAGGGGCCAGCAGGAATCCCAGTGAGTGGGTACCTACCATCGACTGCTGTTTTTCTTTATGTCGCTTGTCATCTGGAAATAAACAACCCGCTGAAGCTAGACATCTGTCACATTCTAAAAACTAAACACATAAAAAAGTTGTTTAACAGCATGTTTGTTGGATCTCCTCAGGGCCCACAGGGTGCTGATGGGTTATTAGGAGCAGCAGGGGAAAGAGGACCTAAGGTAAACTACAGTACATATAAGAATTCTGTAATATGAGTGTTTTATTATGATATTTATGTCTGTATAAATGTATGTATTATGTCTGATACTATAATCTCCAGGGTTTACCTGGTTCACCTGGTGATGCTGGCCACACAGGACAAGATGGACAACAGGTCGGTGAAGTTTCATAATGAGGCAAAGAAAGCTATTTTTTTTTATTTATCTAACTTCAAAATCATTTATTTATTTTTTTTCTAGTGCTCCATTAAAAAGATAAATTAGAAACACCACAGAACTGGTCAAGTAAACATGTTTCTGAATTAAAATAAAGCTTGTTCATTGACCTGTGATCTATCTCCATCTAATCCTGTCCAAACAAACATCATAAGTAATAAAAAGTTTACCATTGTGTGGCCTGCAATGAGCTGCTTCTCAAACATAAGCCATGCATGTGATCGGTAACATCTTAAATCCACTCTGGATTTTACAGGCAGCTCTTCTGGAGAAGCTTCGTCTATATTTCTGTTGAATTTTGAGAGAAAAGTGACACTGACAAGAGAGAAAAGAGAGTAAATACGATGACTGTAAAGTCCCTGTCACCTTTACACAGTTAGATGCCGTAACATGATGGTTTTTGGATCAAACATCACCAGTTTTTTGCATCTACATTTACTTGTGTACTAGTACCACAGAAAACTTTTGATTGACAGTTGATGATTGTTTTGATCTCCCCAGGGTCTCCCTGGCCAAACAGGAATCGAAGGACCACCTGGACAGAAAGGAGACCAGGTCAGTGACTCCAGCTGCACCGGTCCTGAGTGTTTGCATCACTGTTTGCACACACCACAAGCAACTTAAAAAAAAAAAAACAGTTAAAGTGCATCTGTTTCATGCAACATGAAGCCAAGCAGACTTTGTTTAATGTTGAGGAACAGTCGACAGCCTCATAAAGCCAGCTGTGTACTCTCACAGAAAAACCTGTGTCAATAAGGTTGTCGTGCTTGACAGGGGGACATAGGGTCTTGCGGGAAACCTGGTCCTCCAGGGCTCCCAGGAGATAGAGGACTTGAGGGCCCAAAAGGCCTACAGGGACCACCTGGACCAGCGGGTAAAGAGGTAGGTGCAGTTACAGTTGTTACAGCTGTTTACGCAAAGATGATCTTCACTGTGAATGATTACAGATGTGGACACACATGTTGAGCTGCTGTCTCATAAATGACAGGGCAGCTTCACAGGAGGTGATTTTCCAATTCAGTGAAGAATTTATGGACCTCATCAGATCACCATCAGCTCCACCATGTTTACTTTATAACGTCACACAAACAAAGTGTGTGATGGTGATCAGATGTGTTTGTTTGTGTTTTGTTTATTGGTAGAATTAGATTGTTATCATCTTATAATGTCTAAAAGATTCCAGGTGCTCTGTCAAAGAGGTATAAGAACAGTTTGAAAAGCATTAAACCACTGTTACAGATAGTAAGCTGTGAATTTACATTTTTCTGATGATGCATTGGTGGCAGTGCTTAACTCGAGTTGCTCCTCTTGTCAGATGGTGATTATATAACAAATCATCTTATCAGATTATGTAACAAAAACCTATGCTGCTGGTTTACAATATGTACTGATTATCTTGTCGTGTTGTCAAGTGGAAAGCTTGTAGTGTGTGTTCTAAAGTGCTAATTTTTCAGTTCCTTGTTGAATGTAAAAGGCTGTCTTGAAAAACAATAAAATGTGGTGCACGCTTAAAGGGCGAACCTTGGATTAAGGATAAAAACAAACAAAAAAAAAACCCATGACAATTAAAAGCAAAAGGACCCAAACACCAAGACGTGGCAATGTACAGGAACAAAGTAGATCAAATGGAGCTTCAGTTGGCGCTAACGTACAGTGTATGCTAGCGACTGCTCACTGAAACTCTTCTTGTTGAGACGTGTCCTGGGAATAATGATATCCAGTCCTTACCAATACTTTGTATCATGAAGTGTTTATTTTTCTTGTGTCCGTAATCTGAAATGTCCCTGACTTCCAACAAGATTCGTAAACCAAGTTAAACAAAAAGCAGCCACGAAGTTGTCCAAGAACAGTCAAAAACTATTTGCCCCTTCACAAGGAGCAACACCTGTGTTTACTGCCTTGTGGCTTAAATTTTCTGCGGACAGCCTCGGCCTTACCATACACTTCCTAGTGCTCGGAGGAATATCACACAAATCAAATATATGGCTCCTACAAAGACAACTACGCATCTCTAGACTTCTGTTAACTCCTCTTCTGCAGGGCGATTTCGGGCATCCTGGTGAAGCTGGAGATCCTGGGCCCAAAGGGGAGAAGGTAAACATTACTACTACTTTACTTTGGTTTGTTGAAGGTGAAAGGATAAGTTAAAGTTCACCCTGTTCACATCTCTGATTACAAGCAGGATGATTGTGTTAGTTTGACTCTCTGGGTGATGTTTGCAGTTTCTGATCAGACTGTGGTTCCTGTCCACAGGGTGAGGTGGGACCTCCAGGTTTGTCTGGTCGAGAAGGCCCCTGGGGAGCCCTCGGAGAAAATGGAGAAAGGGGTCCAAAGGGAGAGAAGGGCCACATTGGACTAATGGTCAGCATTTTCACTCCTCACAGATGTGTGGCAATTGTGTGTTTAGTATTTTTTGCCACATTTTAATGAAATGCAGACATGTTCCAAACTTTTCCAAAATTTTGGATGTTGGAGGCTGTGTCCAACAGAGACAGTAAGGAAGTTAGAAAGACTTGAGAGACAGATCAACACTTGTGGTATTTATCCTTTAAAAGTTTTGATTGTATGATATGACTATAAGAGATGTATAATCAAGAACTATTTAATGTTTTATAGCCTTAATAGAAAGATCACAAATATGTTTTCTTCGTTGTGACATTTAATATCCCTCAAGTCCGAAAAGTCATGATAGACAACAGGAATTTTAAGAATTTATAGAATAGAAATAGAGAAATAGAGAGAAATAGAGTTCCTGTAGGCTTCTGGAGTTCCCCTATGATAAAATGCGGAGAAAAAACTGTCCAAGATGTCAGTTAATTATCAGTATAAATGGAATATGAAACTGACCAATCAGACTGATCCATAGAAACTGTTCCTGATGTCACATTCATTTTCTTGAACAGGGTGAACCAGGGTTGATGGGTGAAGTGGGACCTGTAGGTCTGGTGGGGATAAAGGTGAGTTTGTTACAGGATGTGTTGATGATGTCGATGACGTACTGCCTTCAAATTAACCTGTACTGAACAGTTCACAGCTGTGATTGACATTTATTGATCCATCTAATTTTTTCTTCCTGTCTCCACACATGTTCAAAACACATCTGTTTTTAGTTTTGTCTGTGGTGTGTTTGTGCTCATTCTAGGGAATCTCGGGCCCTCGTGGACCTCTGGGGCCAAATGGACCTCAAGGACATAAGGTAAAAAAAAAAAAGATTCCGTAACAAGCTGCTGCCATACACTCATAATGTTCTTAATTACTGTTTAATTAGGTAAATCAAAACAAAACAATGATTTGGACAAAAATTCTACCTGGTATTTTAAAATTGCTTTTATTGATATTGAACTGATGGTATTTCTGGTAACAAGAACGACTCATCATCACAATCACAATTTTTTAAATACTTGATTTAAGGTTTTCAGTTTTACAGTAATACAATATGTTGAAAAGACATACAAAATTATAAAAGAACATACAACACCAAGTGGAACAGATGGAACAAAACAAGAAGGCTGCCAGACAGTTTCCAGAATAACATCAATAGTATCTCAGAAATGTTTTCACAATATTAACAACTGATGATCAAGGTGAAGTAACATGAATAGATGAATTGGGTTTAACAATGCACCCGTATGGATGTTGGGTAAAATGACAGTTTCTTCTTTCAAATCTATCCTGCGTATTGTTACAGCCACAGTTTAACATAAATGTTTTCCATGTTGTCCAAGTTTCCATGTTATTCTGTTATTGTAACCTACTCTACATCAGTGCATATTTCAGTCTTGTGTAAAGTAAAAAAAGGAAGTATCTTAGAGTTTACCCTCACAGGAGTAACTCAACTAAACATAAAAGTGCTTGTCCTCAATAATCACCTCATTGAGAGGACCCCAGCCCTGCTAGGCACATACTGTATTTTCTAATACATCCTCTTTTTTTCTACACAAGCATCACCCTCAGTTCTTTGCTTGTCAGTCAATTACATTAGAAGAAATGTCAAAGGAGCAAAATTAAAGATTTTCATTCATCTCTCCAGGGAGATTCTGGGCTCTCAGGAATGACTGGACCTCCCGGGTCAGGAGGCCCTCAGGTAAACTCTGATTCCATTTAACATTTTATGCAACACTGTATAAAGCATGCGTGTGGAAAATCCATTTTGCTCTGTCTTTGTCTTGTTCATAGGGAATAAGTGGAGCACGTGGCATCAGAGGAGACACAGGGAGGCTGGGACCACCTGTAAGTGTCATTGAGTATCAGGAAATTATTCACTTTTTTTGATTTATTTGCCATATACTCAAATCATTATTACATCTGTTGCACTAAAGTTATTCTCACAGCTCACATTTGACTGGGTTGTAGCTAATGGAGGCAGTATTACTAAAAGCATGAGTTTCCTTTTGTTCTGTTACAGCAAACATTATGAATTAAGTATTCATTTGAGGATTACAACTTCAAGTGATTAAAAGAGAAAGTGAGATAATTACAGTGGTATTGAAGTTTTAATGGTCATTACAGTGGTGCAGTACTGCTGAATGAATTCACAAGGCATGTTGAGTTTAGACTACATCAACTGTTCTTTTCATCTGCTAACATCTGAAGCCCTGATAATGAAACAAAGTTTTCGCAGCAATGAGATAAATATAAGGAAGTGCATCGGGTACATCAAGGGTGGGTTTTAGCCTCATTAGCATCATGGCTCTAGATATGTCAATGTCAGTCTGTTGGTCGGTCCACCACTGTGGTCCAAACTGAAATGTCTCAAGAAATATTGGATGTATGACCATAAAATTTGGTGCAAACATTTTTCCATTTAGTGCCACCATTAGGCCAAAATTTCAGTTTGTTCATTACTTTTGTTCATGACCAAATACATGCAAAGCTAATTATTTTCCTCTCAGCTGTACTTTGTGTTTAGTAGTCATTAGCAATGATAGCATGCTAACATGTTGAACTAAGATGTTGAACATGGTGGACATTGTACCTGCTTAACATCAGCATGTTAGCATTGTTGCTGTGAACATGTTAGCATTTAACTCAAGGCAGAGCTGTGTCTATACAGATAACCAACAGCTGAGGAACTGCAAGTAATTTAAAAATGTTGTCTTTGCATAGTTGAAGTTTGAAGTGGTACAGTATTTGATGTCTGTTGTCTGCATTATTTTACATAAAACTGTTCAAGATTTAGTTGCTGTTGAATCAAGTCACCAAGCATCCCATCCAAAAAGTGGATTTTGATTTAATTAAATATACGTAAAATCAGTTTTTAAAGGAGCTATTGTTTAGGTTTTGCATTTAACAGCTGTTTACTTACCATCTAGAGGAAACATTGCAACTTCAGCATCAAACATAATTTTTTACCTGCCAAGAGCTGTCTCCAGTGGTGGAAAGCAACGCCAATGTTAAACTTTGCGGCTTTTATTCATATTACTTCTTTTTTTCAACTAAAGTTTGCATGCTAACCGGCTAGCGCCAGCCAGGCTGGCGAGTGTCGTAACTTTCCGTTAGGAGTCACTTTAGTGTCCAGGCTGCCCTGAAGAAGTAACTCTGCTCAGAGGTTGTGTTATAACCTCTTGTATTGTAAATGCAACGATGGCTGAGGCTCTTGGCAGGACTGGTAAGTAAACAGCTGTTAATGCTAATGCTGTAGCAATGGCAAACAAATTGCTCCTTTACGCCCAAATGAAAACAAAACAAAAAAACATAATAACTTGTCAAGGTGATTGTGTTGTATTGAAAGTGCATTCTTATGACGTTTGCATGACAGGGTCCAGTAGGACAAGTTGGACCTCAGGGAGATCAGGGAGCTAAAGGGGAACCGGGGCCACAGGGACTGAAGGGAGAGCCAGGAGCTCCAGGCCCACCAGGGGAACAGGTACCTACTGTATGACAGTTATAAGTAAACATGACAACAATATGACCTCAGTGCAGTTCTACATGAGACTGTGCCTTCTTGAAGAATACATCAATTGAAAACAATGTAGAGCTGTGTGCAAATATCCATAAATCTGCCTCAATAATATTGATTACCTGTAGGGTGAGGATGGTGTGCCAGGAATCCAAGGTCCTCCAGCTCTCCCAGGGTTTGAGGTACAACATCAGCTCTTTGTCTGATTGTCTGAATAACTGCTGAAGACTGCTTTTTTTCTTAGCTACTATAACATTGGTATTTGTGCTTCTTCCATTTCTTTTTCAGGGGCCTCCCGGAGAGATGGGACCCCAGGGTCCCCCAGGGCCCACAGGCACTCCTGTAAGTGTACAGATGTGCATAGCACAGATGATGAAATTACATTTTTGGCTTCAGCAGCTGATCTATTATACTAGTTGTTTGGTAGTGATTGATTATTGAGAATTAACCAAAACAGTGTTGTTTGTAATGTTTTTCTGAAAGTTATGTTATCAGCAAAATGAGAAAAAGCTATTATTGCTGTGCAGGGAGTGCAAGGAAGATCAGGACCTGAGGGGAAACAAGGCATGAAAGGGGAGAAGGTAAGGTGTTTCCGCTCTGATTCCAGCCATGATGCTAGGCCAAGCTAACTGGCCGATGGCTATAGCTTCATATTTATTCTAAGCGAATAAGCATATTTCCAAAACATGTTTTTAAAGGCTGCCCCTACCTCCTACATGCATTTGAAATTTAACCAAAGTACAATGAGAGGTTAGGTTAGCTTGGTACCATCCCCGGTTGGTTTGCTAACACTATGAAGAATGAAACGGAGTGCTGAACCAACCCTACACTAATCTTATAGTTTTTTTGGCCATTTATGTCAGACTATGTGAAAATCTTGAGCCTCAAACAAACTATAACTATTACAGTAGTTTTAAATTTCCCTACCAGAAAAGGGAATTTAATTGTTCACTAAAAAGTCTACATGAATGCGTTAACAGCTCAAGAAATGGTTTGTCTTTAATTACTTTTTTAAGTACTGACACTTCTTATCTAAATAATTTTCTCTCGTGTTTTGAGAAGGAAATGTTTTTCAATTTTTGTTCTATTGATTTGATTACAGATTTTGCCACACACAAATTACACTGCAGGTGCTAAACATCTCCTTTTGCATTTGGAATTTGTCCATAGTGATGCTAAAGATGCTGATGAGTTTTTGTTTTACCCCAACAGGGAGACGATGGCAGGAATGGAGCACCAGGGAAGACAGGACATGTTGGCAGGAGGGTAAGAGGTTTTGCAGGTGCAATGTAGTTTTAAGTAATGTAAGTCAGTGTAGCAGGAAATCCACAGTCGTAATGAATCCAAGAAAATAAATATTCAGTCATTGTCTCTGTTGGTAATTCTAATGCTATAACTTTTTATAACTCTGGAGAAGAGTCTTTGTTTAGTGTTGAAAACAGGAATTTTCATGTATATGCAGTGGCACATATACATGGGATAATAGAGGAATGTGGCCAGAAACAGCCATTCTGACAGTCACTGCATGAACTGATTCATACATAAGATATTAGGTTGTTTCGTGTGTCTGTTTTTGTGTGTGTGTGTGCGCGCGCGCGCGTGCGTGTGCATGCGTGCGTGTGTACATCCTCTTGCTTTTGATTGCCTCATTGAAAAACATGACAAACTCGTCCTCAGGGGAAACGAGGGAAGGCTGGAGTCAGGGGGACCAGGGGAGACAGAGGACCAAAGGTGGGGTATATGGAAATAGAACTTCAGGCTTTGTGTACACCCAGTTTAATTATGATGTATGAGCCAACAGTAGATTGTGTTTTGTCATTCAGGGCGAAAAGGGAGACATAGGACTGGGAGGACTCCCTGGGTGGCCCGGTCTCATTGTAAGTCAATTTATTTGTTCATTTAACATCAGTTCATCTGTTTTTATGTCATAGCTGAACATATCGACACATTAGCACTGAGATTGTCTGTTCAGCAATCTGTCCCGTTCAGTGATTTGGAAAGAAGACATCACAAGTAATGAATTCCACAATTAAAGAGCATTTTATCAGACAGTGAATTGATATGTACTTGATATATTTATTTATTTTTTGTCACCAAGGGAATCCCTGGGTTGCGTGGAGAGCTGGGGGATCAAGGTGAAAAGGGAAAAGAGGTAAGCAAGAATAAATAAACCTGACACAGAATCAGTGAAAGGTTTCCACTCAGGACCAAACCCAGCTGGATCCCACAGGATTCAGTTTGCTAAAACAAGGCTTGGTTAATTTAGTTTTTGCTAAAATAATAATGGATTATCTTAGATTCAGTAAAACACAGTGTTTTGTATTGCTCCCTTTTATACAGTATACTGTGCCTCTGAAAGAGACATTAGCTTCAAATAAAAACGTAGTGTACCTTTTCTCTTTAAAGGTAACTAGAAATGAAAATGAAGAAACATTTGAATTTTATTAAAGTTTCCAATAAGCACTGAGTAATTTTGTGCAATACATAACATGCATACATCAGGAAATTCAAAATAAAATTAATGAGAACCAACAAAATATATTCAAATATATTTACAGTATATATATATATATATATATACACACATATGTATATGCATAAACATGTACACATACATATATATATATACCTCCTCCACACATGCACACACATAGAATTATAAAATCAATTTTAGGTGTCATATGAGAAGCTCATTACAGGTTGAATCTTTTTCTGTCAGGGGGATATGTGAGGTTTTTGTTAAAGCAACTAAGGGCTCATAACCAATGAATGAAATAGGCGAAACCAGTGGTAAATTCTCCACTTTGCGAGAGTGACTCTGTGATAACTAAATGTGAAGTTTTAATGTTGCCTGATTGTCATAGCAACGTGCAAGGAGGGATTACAAGTGTTAATAAGCAGAAGTGAAAAATGCTGTTAAAACTGAGCTGTTGTTGTGCTTTAGCTCATAAAATGTGTTTTCCCACTGGGTTTAGTTTGGGCTCTGCAGATCAGAATAGTTTGTTTTTTTCATTATTGTGGAGATTAAACTGCACTGTCTGTGTCCTCAGGGTGAGAAAGGAGACATGGGACTGCCAGGACCACCTGGAGGTGATGGCATGAAGGTAGGAGCTCTCAAGGTGTAGTGTGTTAATAAGGAGATAAACATAATGTCTGCAGGCAATAATAATAGTTCAGGTGGTAACTTTGTCTGTGGGTGTGATCAATAAGTACCAGGTAATGTTCATTAATTCTTTCCTAATAATTACAGTCAAAAAGGAACGAATATTCCTAAATATGCTGTTAAGCAATGTATGCATGCTGTCTAAAAAGTTTTTCACATGTGTAAGAATTGTGAATAGATACTGTATGTTTATGTTTTCGATTAACCAGGTCCTTAGATTTAGAATAGCAATATTTTTGATGGATATCAATACAAGTTTGGCAATTAGAAAATTATTCTGACTTTTTTGCAGTTAAAGCATCAGTAAAATAACTTATTCATAATGTGTTTGTCATATTAAAGCAGTATATAGTAATAATGACTATGTAGAGATACTGAACATATTTCAATCATGATGTCAGCCTTATTAAATTATATACTAGTTATACGTACATCATACTGAAGAATCAGAAAAAACTTGTCCATCCCTTTGTCCATTACATAGTGATGTAAATTTGTCTTTGACATGGTTCACACAGTCTACAGACCAACAACTTGTCATATTGGTGGTGAAATGACTCCTTCATACACTCCCTTTATATTAGACGCTGAACAGTTTACTTTATAGTGAGCTGTAAATTTCAGATAATTATTGATTATTGATTGATTTAATTATTGGAATTTTTGGGGCTCACAATTCAGACACTAAAACAAAATGCAGAGGGGAATTATGGAGCATTATAGTAAATGATCTTCCCATGAGAGTGGAGTTGGATTGAGTTTTTAAAGGGGGTGTGAAGGGTCTTGTGTGATGAACGTTGTTTGGCATCTCACTGACTGGGTGAAAAGATGTTACAGTGGGGACTGGGTGGTGCCCGTTATTTAACTTGTATGGCCGATGATCAGAAAATGTTTTTATTTGTTTAAGAAAGAGAAAGTTGTACGTGATTTTTTTGGGTCTTTTATAGAGTCACTGTGCTGGGATGAGAACAGGACCATTAAACACTAAATGTTGTGAACTGTCCACATGATTTATCTACTGTTGTCCAGCACACTGCAAAAATGGTCACTTATTTATTTATAGCCATTTATTTATGGCTACTGTCATTTTGAATCTGGCAGCATCTTGCAAAACTCAAGAAGACGTTTATTAACTAAAGGAATACATTTGAATTAAATCTTTGCTTGGATGTGTATTGCTCTTATGACTATTTCTTGAATTGTCATGTGAGTTACTTACTTGACTTTGGCCTCATGTAAGAACCAGTCATACGAACAGATTTGTTCTTATGTGGCAGGTACAAGCATATCAAGAGAATTTGTGGCACTCACCAATTTTCTCGTACTGAGAATTTTTTCTTAGATACCAACAAAATTCATGATTAGTCCAGACCTGTTGTGCAAGTCATGAAGAAATAATCTGCCTTTCTTCATATGGCAAAAACATTTATTTTATCTACATGTATATATAGTTTTAAGAAATTTTACCTTTTTACAACACACACGCAACAAAAACAAATAGACTTCACAGAGTGGAACAAAATAAAACAGAGAACCTGCCAGCTCATAGAAGAACTGCTCATATGCATGTCAGCCTGTACAATAATTGAAATCTCCGCAAGTAGATTGAGAGTCAGAGTCCATGGATCCAATACCAAGTGAGGATGAGGAAGAGGTCCATGGCACAGGCCAGAAAGCCAAAATGCTGGCGGATCAGAGCCCAGAGCAGTACAGTACAGTTCAATGTGATTATTTCCCAGGTCGCTCCTTCGTAATATGCTCAATAAAGGGTTGGCACTTGACATAGTATACTAGATTTCTTCCAGGTATAGACAGGAAACCATGTCGTTTTGTTATTTTTAAAGCAAGGAGGGGAAACTGATTTCCACTCTTTTAGTCTAAGCCTTTTTGCTATGACCTTACTGAGCCTGAGGGCTTGTTGTGATGCAGGAGGAAGAGTCAATGGAGTAGTTGGAGTAACCAAATATCACCAACAGACAATCAGGGATTAACTGTCTGCTGTATATGTCTCTGTGCAATTGAAAAATGTCATCCTAAAAACTCTTGAGCTTGGGACATGACCAGAAAAGATGGCCGCATCCCGTCACTTGACTTACATTTATCACAGATTGCAGAGACAGATGGAAAGTTCTGGTGATGGATGACTTTAAACTGAAAAAGCTGAAGTCCAGCATTGATAGAACATGCTTTGATCCCATCCAACCCTTTCACCCATAACTCATCCAAAATCTCCTCATCAGTATCCTTAATCCATACGTCTTTAATGTGGAGAGGAAGGTTGCTCGAGAAAAAAAGTCCAATAAACTGAGATTAAATGTTTGGAGGTAGGGATTCTAGTCGTAAGGTCAAAGAAGTTGTGTTCTTTGGGCATCATATCAATGTAAAGTATAGTGTATAGTACCCAAACAGCTTGGGTCTGTGTATTTTGGTTGAAGCAGTTTGGAGAGCGTGGAGAAAGGACAAAAAGACAGAAAACTCACATCCACACAAGCGCCGGGGCTTCCACAATACTCGTCGTTTATTAACTTGCTACACTTCAACCATACCATGCCTGGTTGGACGACTCTATCTTATCATACATGAACAAAACAGAAATCACGTGTACTCTAAACGTTACTCTTGAGTTGAGGTGCAAAAAGAAATAAGGAACTCATTAACAGGCATCCACTCTTATCAAGGTGCGCTGCTCAACTAACTAAAGGAAAATAACAGCGCAGTCTGATGATGCTGCTCCTCTCGTATCTAGGCAACACAGCATGTCTTGAAGGCACATTTCACAATTTCATCTGTTACAACTGCCAATAGCGAGCAGGAGGGACGTCAACAATTGTTACTGTAGATATCCTTGATGGTAGACCGACCCTTATCAGACCAATGTGAAAAAACAACTGCCATCAAGCCTGTTTTAAAAGAGGGGTTCTGATAAATAGGAGCATAAATGGACAATTCTGAGAGACCAGACAAAGGGCATAACGATCTATTGTCTTAAAGAAAGAGGACATAAGAAAAATTGGTGTGTTTTAAAAAAGATGAATAAATTTAGGGAGTAAGTAATGAAGTAAGAAGAGGAAAGTGCTTGCATTGTGTCATTCTTGCTGTGATGTTTTTTTTTTTTCAGGGAATTCGTGGTCCTGATGGGTTGCCAGGTCCAGTGGGCCTAAAGGGAGAGCAGGTACACAGTATAAACTTTGTCAAGTTAGTTTTGTATTTAGAAGCTTGACTTTTTGACGAGGTGTAAAAATGTTTCGATGATCTCCACTTCTCTTTCTCTCTTTCCAAAGGGGAGTATTGGTTTTCCAGGGTCGAGGGGTACACCAGGGATGCCAGGACTGCCCGTACGTTTCCAATTTACTTTGTAAAACACGTTTGCAAATTTGTGCAGCACGTTTTGTTTATTTAACATTATTATTTTAGCCACCTGCCATATCCCTCTTTTCCTTTGTTTGTAACCAGTATTTTGCTTTTCAGTTTGGTTCCATACTCTTGTTACTTTCTTTAATGGAAAGAACTTTGCCGCTGTGAAAATCCTTTTGGATACACAAAGTTTATTTAGGCAATACTTTTTTACTTATTTCTTTCTTTCTCCGGGATATTCAATATTTTAGATTCAAGCAGATCATCTGTCACTCATACTTTTCTTCCAGATCGTGTCTGAAAAATGGAGATAGCAGGGTAGTGGAACGTGTGATGGAAATGTTATTGTTTTATAATAAACCCAGTCATTCCTGTAAAGTAGTAACTGCTATCTATCAGCCAAATAATCAGCTGCCAGTCTGTTGAGTCTTTCACAGTTCAGCAGCAAATTATGACTATGTTCAACCCACTGTGTCCTGGGGGAAAAAATCCATTGACTTGGGTTATTAAATGTGTGAAGCCGTGGCTGATGGGTTCGTAATGCAGTAGATAAAAGGACTCGGAAGCTCTTTGTTGATAAATGCATGTCACGGTGAAAAATCATGCTAATGCCCTTTTCTTCTCCTGTTCTCTCCTCTGTTGCAGGGTTTGTTTGGATTAAAGGTATGAAATCCTGAACTCTAGCTCTCTTGTCCTTACACTTCTGTTCAACTCACTGTTATCTGGTTCATGTTGATAGCACATATATTTATGAAGCTGTCACACTGTGGAGTCGGTGTTAGTATGTAATGGGATTGTGCCGGAGTCTTTATTTTCATATCAGTTTATTTTATGGTGTGGCATCGCCATGCAGGACAGTGCAGGATCGTATGCTCATCTCATATTCTCCTCCCTGCAGGGTTTGAAAGGATACCAAGGTTTGCCCGGTCTGCCTGGCAGGAGGGGCCTCCCGGTGAGCTTACACCAGAGTTAGACAACACAGGATAAAACACTTGAAAAATCATATTCTCTTATTACTTACAATACACTAGACACAGTACATTCAGAATGTATACATTATTCTAAGATATCTGCAAATGCCTAGAGATGATTCAGTTAAATATGAGATTAGCACAGTGATCATGCCTCTTATGTGTCTGACAGGTTGCTTAGATTATAACTTGACTGGCTTTTAGCCAATATTAGCTTAATGCAGCGGAAATAAGCAAAAACAAAAAAGAAAAGGTTGTTTGTCTATCACTTGGGCCATTGTTTTATTATTACATGCACTAATATATAGCTGAACACTACATTACTTGGTTTGCAAAAACTGTCAAAGTATGAATGTTTTCTTAAACTCAATGCCTGATCACTCACTTGCTTTATGAATTTAAGATTTTTAAGACAAAATAAAATCACTAAATTAATAAATGTTTTTTTCAGTTTACAGCTCTTTTCCTTAACAACCAGATGAAATACAGTTTTCTATAATGGATAATATTTTTCTAAATTGGAATCTATATTAGTACATACAGTATTTTTAATATATTTCTCATTTGGTGGTGTTGTCACTTGTGAATCAACCTTGTGTTTTAGGGTCCACCTGGCGTTCCTGGACCTCCAGGAGAGTCGCTGAACATGACTTTGACTCAGCTCAAGGCAAGTTATTCATATCTTTAGTGTCCAATTAAAATATTTTGGTTAATGTGGGATTACAATTACAAAAGCATTTATCATAAGAGCATATGCAGTATGTCATATTACAAGACTTACATTGTTATGTTACACTGAATATTACACAGTTTTAACTAAAAACATCAGGAATATGTAAAACATTCTCTTTAGAGTATATATAAATCTTTTGTGTATTGGTGTTTGCCATTTAAGTCAAAAACACAGACATTTTCTCCTAAAACATGAAATTAACTGTGTGTTGGGTAATTGTCCTTCCATGTCCAGGACCTGATGTACGTGTCCGATAAGCCCAACTATCCCCTGATCCAGACTCTGCTGGATTCTCTGCAGCAGGAGCTTCGGCTGCTGGTGGATCCTCCGGATGGCAGCAAGGAGTATCCTGCCACCACCTGTCTGGAGCTCTGGCTCTGTCACCCTGAATACAGCAGTGGTCAGTCACAGACACTAATCCACACTTAAAATTTCTATTTTGGAAATCACTGAGTTAGTGTAGTTGAAGTTCTGTTTCTCTGTGTTGTTTGTGTGCATCATCGTAACACGCTGTTACTGTCGTAAGTGTGTCATTATTATGATTCTCATCACATCACATCGGTGGACTAGTTAGAGCAGCAGAAATAAATGTTTTCACACTGCAATTTTTCACACTTTACATCTTTAATCTTTCTTTAGTAGAGTCCAGTACATTGGAGTGGATGCTCAGGTCTTCCTGTCATTGTGAAGTACAGTACTTTGACGCATATGCATATGTCACTGAGCTCTCACTGACCTTTCTCTGCAGGAATGTATTACATTGACCCCAACCAGGGCAGCCCGGCTGATGCTCTGCTGGCCTACTGCAGCTTCTCTTCCACATCAAAACAGACCTGCCTCCATCCTCGAGACTCTCAGGTATAAAGACATCGCCGGATGAAGGTTGCAGGAAATTGCACCTCTGGATCAATGACATGCCCGCTAATTTCACACAGCTTTGTTGTACGACCTGAATCTCATCTTGATGAATTAGCAGTCTGCCCACACTTTCAAAGTATTGACTAACACATCTGCATTGATGACTTGAATTCTGTTTTATTTTTTGGTAGTTTGGCCAGCATTCCTACTGTAACAATATTTTATTCACTCACTTCATTGCTGGGATCTGCCACACACACACACACACACACACACACACACACACACACACACACACACACACACACACGAGCACACACTCTTCCACCCTACAGCTGTCAGGACTCACTATCAAATTTACATAAACAAAGTTTTTTAGCCCTCAAACTGTATGGGACAAAACACAGTGATTACAAATCAGGACAGGATGAGATGCCGTAAACAAGACCAAAGGTACTGTAAAATTAATTATTAAATAAAATAAATTATTATAGAACAAGAAAACTGGACTCACAAAAGTATATTAACTGTCTATTTACATTGTGCTTTATTTTCATACCAAGAAGAAACAAAGAAAGCATCGAAGAACATTTATTCACATTAAAGAACAAGCAGCAACTCAGTATTAAATCTTGTAAACATACCGTACATGGAGTCCATAGGAGTAGAAGTAAATAGAGTATAACATCCATAGTTAGTGAAACAGTACATTAGCAATTACTTAGATTGTTGTATGAATGCTGGCAACATACTGGCTAGCTTGATTAGGGTTGCAAAAAATGTGCAAATGAATGTTGAACTGAAACTAAATGCTGGAGGCTGGATACATGTTTTAAAAAAAGAAAAAAATAAAGCAATGAAACTTATTACTAGACCAAGTAATACTGTATTAAAGGCAGGAACAAAGGTGGAATGTACATATAATACACACAAACAATTACTAAAGGTCTAAATTATGACCTTTACTGTTCACCTTAGTTTTAAGTTTTAAGGTGACTATTACTACTAATTGACTATTTGCTGCATTACTCTTTAAAAATTCTTTGAAAACAGACAGCATTCAACAAAGTAAGCTTTGTGTATGAAAAGCATTGCCTCCCTGTGGGAAGGAGGAGAGCAATGCATGGAATGGAAAAAAATTCAGTTTGAAAGGGTATTCAAAGTCATTTGAAGGGCATCAGGATGATCAGTATGTTATTATTCTCATTATTATTGTCATTTTCTGTACTGCAGTCTGTATGAAAACACAAAACACACATTCACCTGTCAACCTTTCCACTCCAATGCAGTCAATACTACAGAAAACATCGACTCACTCAAGCAAAGATAATATGAATTGTTCATGCGTAGTGCGAAGCGGATGCATCTTTTACTAATGCAGCCAATTTACTTCAGATTCATGCTTTAGCTGCATGCTAATCCAGAGTTCATCAGCTGCTGTCTGAGCATCACTGATGTTCACAAATCACTTACGTGAGCGCAGGACTTGCATTCAGATTTGAAAATGTGTGTCCTTTTTCCCTCTGCTCGCAGCTGCCCATAAAAGCTTGGATGGAAGAATTTTTGGAGGAAGGATCCTTTGAGTGGCTCAGCAGGCTGGAGCAGGGGTTTCAGGTGGGTCAGTCCCTCTGGATACAACTACCAAAATAAACATTCATTAAAACTGTCTTCTGTGATGTTACTGGACATTTGGGGGGAAGTAGAAATCCACAACAAACAGAAAAACACGGACACAAACATATATGGCCAGTGTGTTAGCAAGGATTCACACATCCAGCAGGAGTAGACCTCATTAGTGTCATTTGTCTTTGGTGTTTGTGTCCACCTGATGAAATTATGATTCTCTCCTTTCTGCTCTGGTTTTGTCTCCACCAACTTCTGAGAAAAAAATCAGGCTTTTTGGCTGCTACATGCTCCACTTTGTAACTTTTTCATCACTGTAGGAAATACATCAGTAATTTTCTACATTAATGTTTCTAGTATTGTTTTTCTGTCATTCATATAATGTCATTTTGTTCATTTTCCATTCAATTAGTCTTTGTTTTTACCTGTTAATATTGATTGTTAACATTATTGATCTGTAACCATGAACCATCCTTGATAGTATATTACTATTACTATTACTATTATTCTTCTCCTCAGTTTTACTATCCAGGTGCTAATGTGGTCCAGATGCGTTTTCTGAGGTTACACAGTAGCACTGCCGTCCAGAAGGTGACCTTCTCCTGCCATCCAGGACACAGACTGGGCCAGACAGACAGAGACATCAAGTTCCTCACTGACACAAGGAAGCAGAGTTACCTTGGGGAACTTAAAGACTGTGTGGTAAAAAAAAAAAATCTCTAAACTTCCTTTTGTTGCCCTACTCTTCAAAGCCTTGAGGACGCACTAGTCATGCAACTGATATAAAATCTCTTTTACATGACAAGAGGAGTATTGATCATGTATTAACTGACAGCCATGAGCCTCTTCCTCTGACTCGCTCAGAAACTATCTGGGTCACAGAAGCTTTTGACAGAACCTCTCCACGTTAAGATATGTTGTGGAGAATATTTCAACTAAAAAATATCATAAATAAGTTACATAGTATAGCTTTAAGTCAAAATATATAATGATATGTCAGATAGGAAAGGAAACAAAGTTACTGCAAAGACATTATTAGAACAGTTTGTTATAATTGTTATTAGCTTGTTATTGTTAGCAGTAGTTGTGTTAGTTGCTACTATGAAAATTGGATTGAGGAACTTTAAAGGAGGGCACTGCAATACTTGCCACATTCACACATTCATACATCACAGCCATACACTGATGGAACCGCCATCAGGGGCAGTTTGGGGTTCAGTATCTTGTCCAAGGACACTTCGACACACGGACTGGAAGAGTCGGGGATCGAACCACTGACCTTCTGATTAGTGAATGACCCGCTCTTCCTCCTGAGCCACTGCCGCCCCAGACATCATATTTAAGGAAAGTTAGTCCTGGATGTATCTTTTGGCATTCCTGGAAATATACGAGAAGAGTTATGTTATAAATAGAGGAGTGAAGGTGTCATCTTAGGTATTTTTGATGTTTTCTAACATTATATAGACTAAACAATGAATAAACAATCAACAGCTCATGGAAATAATCATTAGTTCTAACCCTAATTGATAGAAAATATAGGATAAAATATGCTGAACTATTACCGTCACGTAAAAACCTGGTAATGATTCAAAGCAGTTACATGTAAAACATGTATTCTGTTTCCTGTGTGTCAGCCTGGAGAGGAGACGGTTTCTGGACCTCGAGAGTCTGTGTTCGAGTTTGAGGACCTCCAGCTGCTTCCTCTGAGAGACTTGGCACTAATGGGAGGTGGAAACGTCACATACCAGTTTGGCTTCACTGTCGGACCTGTGTGTTTCAGCTAGAGGTGCTTGAAAGCTGTGCCGTCCCAGAGGACTCAACAGTCCAGGATACAAACCTTTGTTCAAAACATGGACACTAAGAGGACACCTGGAACACATCATCCAATTTCTGAGGACGTCACTTGCTTTTCCTGTTGTATTTGGGGATTTCATCTCTCAAGTTGAGTGACTCCATATTAATGAATTTGAGAGGGCACAGGGGCCCCCAGCCTTTTCTTTCACGGAGAAGTCAATTTTGTTTACAGAGACATTTATCTTGTATTGAATAATTTAAAAATGTATGTTTTTTATCCTTTTATATACAATGTTTTTTTTTATGTTTGATTTTTGTTATGTATTCAGGGCCTCTATTATAGTCTGCCCATTGTGTTTATAAAAGTCAGACTGTCCCAGCTGACCTCTTAACAATGTGTTCTGGATGTGGACGCAGCTACTGTCGTCCAATTGGCCGTATGTGACCAGGCCAGTAAATTCTCTCACTGTACATCCCCTACTTCAGTACTGCAAGTGAACTCAGAGGTGTCACTCTTCTCAAGGTGTTGATCCAGTTTTATTTCAAAGACCAACATTTATTTAATTCCAAATACAATAAAAGGGACCAGTCATGTTATCTTAGATACTTGATGCTGTCTCTTGTCAAGAGCAAGACCAAATTTCCTCATTTTGTTAAAATACGAAACAGCGTTTACTGTTTTTAGTTTCATGTTTTTTCACATCTCAGGTATAACACTTTCATGGGCACTGAAGCTGTTGCTACAGTATGTTAGTCAGCTTTGTAGTTTAGCTTTAAAATAAGACTTAAAGGAGCTGTTTGTAAGTTTTGCTATTACTACATAGCCAACGTTAGCATTTACTTACCAGTCTAGAAGAAACGTTGCAAGTTTCAAACTTCATTCCTTTACTCACTAAGAGTCTCCAGCAGTGGAAAGCAACTCTCTTTCTCTTTTCTTCTACTGACGTTAGCATGCCAACCAGCTAGCCCCAGTCTGGCCAGACTGTCTCATCACTTCCCGATAGTGAGTCACTGTAGCGTCCAGCCTGCCTTGAAGAAGTAGCGTTGCTCAGAGGACGTATTATAACCTCTTATCTTGTAAACACAATGTTGGCTGAAGCTCTTGGCAACACTGGTAGTAAACGGCTCTTTATACAAATAGCAACTTTAACATGTGTTAAGACTAGAAATGTTAAAGGATAAATCCATGAGAAGACCAAAACCAACAACAAACTGATTCACCATCAAGTCTAGTTTGTGTAGACAAAGTCTGATATATCTTATTCCTCTGTACCATAGAACTATTAAAAAACACAGCAGTGACCTACACTGTTGCACTGAGTGACACGTTCCTTCATTACAATAATGATACACAACAGTTTATTTTGACTCTTTGTCCCACACACACTGTCCTGGTACTGGAAATAGTCACCAAGTGTGTATTAATGTGCTGCTGAAAGCCATCCCCAGCAAAAACACTACTTAGTTCTGTTTGCTAAAACTACAGTGCGCAGTTGTTTAAGGACATCACTGAGACCATTACAAATGAAACTATACAATTTTAGCTGTTTTTAAATATTTAAATTTTCAGAAGGAAGAAATGGGCTTGGGAAACAGTGCCCCTGGCAGGGTAGGGAGGTCAGAAGGTATTCAGAGATGGAAAAGCACATTGTTGGTTTTGGTCTTTTCATGGGATTTGTTGACAATAGAAAAACAATTCAACGCCAGCCTTATCCTGTCAAGTGGTGAACTCCTGCACATTGTTAATATTGTTAAAGTTTCAGTCATTTGTCATCATTAGGCTTTAAACAACATTGCAATAAGCGTCATCTTTGTACAATAGCCACAGGCTGCATCACCCAATCACAAACAAGGTAAAATGACAGGAACACCTGAGATGATTAGACACTCAACAAGATCAATGGGCACACCTCATTGGTAGAAGAAATCAAACCTGGATTAAAAGGTATTAAAAGTGTAGCTTTGCAACAGGTGTACATTACATTATTTACTATTTTAACAATAGAAATGTTAGATTCAAGTGTGCTAAGGAGATTATCTTTTTTTTGTTAGCCTCATGTAAACCAATACACATATATCCTCACAGAAAAATACTGTAATTTCTTTCACTGTACTGTAAAGATTATGCATCAGTTCAGCAAGTGCAAGAGTAGTAGCCCAACCCTGCAGAGCTTCTTTGGCCCCTAGTGGAAAAACAAGTGCCTATTACCACCCACTTAGCATCGAGTAATTGCTGTCGGTCTGAATTTCTGCTTCATTCAATCTGAGAAGTGCTTGGGTCCAGAGAAAAGAAGCAATTCTTGTAGCTTCTCAGCAGAATCACGATTTGGTCCTGGAGCAATGGTCAGCAGTGACTGATGAGTAGTACGGTGTACAGTCTGCAGGGAGCAGAGGATACAGTTGAGTAAGATCTCAGGGAGTTTGTGGTGAGAGCGTAGTCCACTAGCCTGGCCAAAACAGCAGCTCTGAAGCTGGGAAAACACCAAAGCTTCATTTTCTTGCTTTTTACTAAATTGCCTCCAAGGTTCCACAAGGTTGAGGCATGCTACAGCTATCAAACAGAAATGTACTTAGCCTTCATGTCAGCTTAATGTCAATTAGATTCAAGTTTAGCCACAGGTCTGCAGATTCTGGCCAAGGGGTTATTTTTTAAATGTTTATTATTTGTATTTAGATTTGTCATATCATCAATCCACATGATTGCCTTAGCTGGCTGAGACTGATCATTGTAACTTTACTTGTTTTGTACAAATTGTCATTTTTAAAAAATATGAAATGACATGCTGGACATCTGTCTTGTTTGATCCCTGCATCAGCTCATTCAAAGAATTGTGTCAGCTGAATAAAAAAAAACATAACCAAATGTCGACTCTTGCTTTTGGTAATTCGAAAAAAATACATCTTGGAATGATGATGGCACTGCATAAAGAGTCAAATGTCTGTACGAAACTTCATGGCAATCCATACTATAGAAAAGCCACATGGCTACAAGGTGATATTACCCAAGAATTTGTTTTTTCTTTTAATGTCTGAAGCAATATTTTGTAAGCTAAGTTGTGTCAGACTGATAGAACTGTTCAGCTGCAGGCTCATCCACTGCTGAACAGAAAGCACAAATTTCTTGGGATTTTTATATTTTCACATCTAGGAAGAATTTTCAAGCTACTTTTGTATGTCAGATAATAAATAACATACATTTATACTAAAATGAATTCATAGCAGCAGGTCCTGAGGTATTATATAGGTGCTTATCCAATATATGGGTTACCACATATATGACAAAAGGAAAGGGTTACACCTAACAAGTTTGTTATCTCAAGATATTTCCACTGTGTGTTGCTCTTGGATTTCCATCTAGCTGCCATCTCTTTGAACTGGGTGACAGACCATTCATCTGTTGCAGAACCTGCAATTACAACACAAGCCATTTGTCAGGCTCTGCTTCGAGTTTAGCTTAAAAAAGCAAAGGTTTTAAGAAAAGAAAAAAGAAAAAACATTTAATATAATGATAAAAGTAATTTAAATTATGGAGAACTAGAGTGGCACTTAGTAGGGAGCTTGCTTCCGCCAAGGCCAGACAATCCTAGACAAGATTAGATTATTATCTGGATCTGAACCAAATTGAAGAAAGTCATAGATCTCAACACCATTAATCCGTCTCATTTTTACATCAAGTCCTATCTTACAATGTTAAGGAAATTGATTATAAAAAAGTCTTTGATCCACCCATTTAACCAACCACCAACATTTCATAGGTTGTTCCCTGACCTATGCCCCATTCCTCCAGAAAATTTGGTGGAATCAGTCAAGTACTTTTTGCGTAATCCTGCTGACAAAAAACAGACATGGGTGAAAACATCCCCCTCCTTGGCAGAGGTAATAATGTGAGGAACCATACTGGTAACTGCCAACTAGTGGAGGTAAACTCAGCTACACTTATGCAGCGGTACAACTATCGGTCAAGAGACAGGATCTTACATTGGTTCTTGTAGCTGATTCAACTGCCTCCGCCTATGCCTGTGGCTGCAGAGAACATAGCACAGTTGGCTGCCCAGACACAGCTGTACCCAAAGCCTCCAGCTGCAGGACTTATTTTTGTCGACTTTCATTTAATTTCTCTTCAATAGTTCCCAGGACTGCACCATCCTCCACACATTTGTGCTTGCTCTCTCCAAGACCCAAACTACCTCCTCTGCGCCAACTTGCTTCACGTTTGTGAATAGATTTCAGGGCGTCTGTATTGATCAGTCATCTGTTTTGGACCAGTAGCACTAATAGAGATAGTAGCAGCAGCACAGTTAATTGTAGCAGTGCCTGTAACCTTTGCAGTGGTATCGTTACAATAAGAGTCGTGTTAGCAGTAGCATTAACAGTACAGTAAGTCGCAGTACAAGGGTGTAAGAGTTGGTGAAGCTAGCCTTCAAATGTAATTAAAATGAAAAAAACTAATACATGTAATTAATTCATTCTTCGTTGTTTTGCCATTGCCTCAAATTAAATAATTTCAGTTAACTGCCAGTGTAATCTGGACTTTTTTAGTCAGTTGAACATGCAGAAATGTAAACTATGTATATGTCTACAGGCAACCATGAAATTCAGCTATATGGAGTGGTTTCCTATTCCAAATGAATGAAGAATGGATATTTACTATATGTGTTTTTGAATTAAAAACACATATAGAAAACACATATAGACATGATATACATCACCTGCAGCACCAAAAAGTTCAGGCTGAAGTTTTATGTTTAGGGGTTGTAAAGGGTTAACTCTCAAACCAGTCAGAACACATGCATACGTCACGTGACGCACAGCGTCATCTCTCGCCAGCTTTTACATTTCCGCATTTGTCTGTGGTTTCCCACACGCTAACTATAGCCATGTTTATCCCAGTTTAGTTCGTTTGACGTTTCATGAAACAGGAGTTCATTTGCGTGACAGTGGGACGGGCTGCTGTGTTACATGTTGGTCTTTCTGTCAGCTGAACAGTGTC